GCTCTTGTTGTTGGTGTTGAAGGTTTTTTTCTTCTTTCTTTTTTCATTTTTGTCTTCTTGCGGCTTTTTAAAATATTTTTGTTGTTGACGTTTTTGCTGTTCTTTGATGATGTCGCCTGTTGTTGTTTTATTCTCTTGTTGTCTGCTGTTGTATGTTTTTTTGTTTGTTTTTTTTTTTTTAAAAAATTTTCACATGAAACTTTTAATTTTGTGAACAAAGTTTTGCTTCAAAATGTAGGGCAATTTTTTTCTATAAAAAGACAATGGGTTTTTATGCATTTCATAAAATGCTACTTTATTCAAGATCCCATTTCCCGACATAATATATACACGGAAACAAATTCCCCCGCGTCTAATTAAAGCTACAGTATAAATAAAAAACATTTCTGCATTTTGTATGCGAAGGGGGATCATTAACTTTTCCTAACCATTTTCTTTTTATTTTCATTTTAGGAAAAAGAAAAAGAAACTGTGTAACATTTTGATAATAATGGGAATTGGAAAATTTACGTGGGTTTTTTTTCTGTGCGAGCCCCATTTTAAAAAAATTAATTGAAATAATGAAAAGTGATATTTAATAATTAAGAGAGTTTTAATTTCACAACATTAACGGATTTGTTAATATTAAATTTTATTCATTAATGTAAGATAAAGAAGTGACCAGTGTTAATAATGAGTTTTTAAAGCAGTAGAATTGTGTTGAGAATAAGAAACACACGGAATTTGACGAAATTATTTACATAGGTTCGTGTTACAGAAAAAGAATATTCTATATAACGTTAGTGATGGCTTTACCGAATATAAGAATTCTCGTTGTTTGTTTGACATACACGAGTTGTGTAATAATAGTATTGTAGTATATTGTACAGAAGTTCGATATATCCGGGGTTGGTTATATCATTATATGTGAGTATGATATTGATTCATTTATTTATAACCATCTTGTAGTGATATTTATTCTTTTGTAAATAATCCATTAATAGGATTACATATAAGAAAATGCTGACATATTCAATATATATAATGGGAAATATTCAAGGACACGATGTTTTTATGCTCTTTTTAATCTTTTGTTGACTTGTTCTTTGCTTTTTTCTTGCATTTATCCTTTAAAGGTACAATATGCCTCAGAGTATTTTATTTTTTTTTCAAAATGGCATGCATGTGTTTTTATAATGTTTAAATAATAGAAATAAAGGATGTTCAAGTAGTAACACCGTGAGAAAGTAGCATTGGATATAAAATAATTTGTAAAGAAGGTAGTTAAACATAAACAAAGTGGTATTTTGACTTCTATGTAGTATAGGAAATCATTATAACTGTACATATTGCAAAAAGAAAACAAATGTTCTATTGGCTATAAGTGCCTGTTCGGAGACACAAAAAGTTTTTGAAAATTAAAAATACTTTCGGAGATAAATGTGTTTTGAACATGCATTCATTGAAAATAAAACCAGAGCTTTTTGTAAATTTTCGAAATTTGTGAAGTTAGCTGCCTAGGAGCCTGGCAGCTAAACTAAGAAAACTAAGAATAGTACAAACATGAAAACCGTCGGAAATGAATCATTCAATGCCTTTTTTCAGTATCACGATATTTTTTAAGATATTGAACTTATATGTTTGTTTGTGTTGTTGGGGTTTTTTTTCTGACGGGTCTTCGAAATGTGTGCAGTTGGCAGCCTAGCAGCCTAGTAGCCTAGCAGCCTAAAGAAATCTTAGAATAGTACAAACATTATAACCGTTGGAAATGCATCTGCAACACTTACCTATACCATTCCACGATAAGGAGAGAGTTTCTAAAACAAATCTAGCTTTCTACTCATTCCTTTTCGCATTTGATTGTAATTATATTGTGTATATATGTTTGATTGAAATAAACTATTGTTTAAACCAAATTTTGAATCGTCAGAATAAAAATAGATAACATTCAAAATCTTAAAAAAAATAAAGATCACGATTTTGAAAAAAAAAACGTTAAATGGTATAAGTAAGTGTACAGATGCATTTCCGACGGTTTTCATGTTTGTACTATTCTTAGTTTTCTTTAGACTGCTAACTTCAGGCTCCTAGGCTGCTTGGTTGCCAATTTCAGGCTCCTAGGCTGTCAGGCTGCCAACTTCACGAACATCTAGAAAGGGATTAACGTCAGTGTGGAAAAAAAACCTTAAAATTAAAATATATTACATTCAAACACCTCACAAATGTTGTACATATATATATAATGTAATTGTAGCTGTATATAATTTTCTCTCATATAAACATACATACGTGGGATTGCAAGTGAAAAAGAATCGTGATCTCTGAGAAATGAGACTACTTATAAAATGAGCCGCGTCACGACAAAACCAACATAATGGGTTTGCGACCAGCATGGATCCAGACCAGTCTGTGCATCCGCGCAGTCTGATCAGGATCCATGCTGTTCGCTTACAAATCCTATTACAAGTAGAGAAACTGATAGCGAACAACATGGATCCTGATCAGATTGCGCGGATGCGCAGGCTGATCTGGAGCCATGCTGGTCGCAAACCCATTATGTTGATTTTGTCATGACGCGGCTCAAATATTAAATTTCTTTGTATTCAGAATTACTTCATAAGTTTAATGTTGTAAACTAATAATGTATCACTTATATAGATTAAAATTCTTAATGTTACAAGTCTTATTTTTGTGTAGGAGTCTTATTTCTTTATTTCTTTCTTTTTTTAGGTTTCATTTTTTTTCAGTAAATGTTATATAATAAATTATCACTTACTTTTATTAAAAATTTTAATAACATATTGGTATTTTCAAAAAGATTTTATTCACTGTAGGTATATATAATAATTGGATATTACTAATACTAACTAGAACTTTTGGTAGAATGTTAGACTTATTACTTATATTTTATGTTTTCTTTTTTTTTCTTTGATGAGAAACATTGTTATGACAATCTATGGAACATTGTTACGACAATGTATCTAGACTAATTTCCCGACAATAGGAACCGAGACGTATTATATCAAGATTTTGATTCATTTCACCTGCAACTGTTACTGTCACGAAGTGTTAACCGCGCGGAAATATCTTAGTCACAATGGTGTTTTTGCTTTAATATTTCATCTCCGGGATTTTCAGTCATGTTATTACCATAATTTCTTTATCATAGCACAGAGAGCACAGAGGGTTCACGGATTTCATACGGCTCTAAAGTTCGAATCTCAAATTTATATTCTTTCTTCATGACTTTGTTGAAGGCAACAAAATTATAGCTAGTTAATACCCCACCACTGATTCATATGGAGAAGTTATCAGTTATTTGCGAAGTGATAAAGTGCTGATACAGAATATAAAAGTATACGTTAGGTAACCTTTCGCCGGCTTTCTAGTGAGTGCAATAATCTTTAGATGCAGATATCTTATTACCAAACTGATAGATGATTCTAATCAATCAATTCATAGTTTAAAGTGATGTCAGAATTACGAGATCTAAATGGTTTAACTGGCACCCTTCAAGACAAAAAACACAGTAAAACTATAAAAGCAATTTCCTGTTCAACTGTTTTTTGGTCTTAAATATTCATCCAAATTCCGCATCATAATGATAATCTCTAAACCAGATGTTAAGATATCCTCAAAGTCAAAGTAAAATTGTGCATGTATCTACGAAATAGCGTTAAACATTAATCATTTATTCGCGTAAAATATATGATCTAATTTTCATTAATACAGTAAGGGAAGTAACCATTCTTGTAACTCCGCACTGTGGTTATTTCCCCTGTCAATACAGTAAATACGTGACATTCGGAATACATTACCGATTACCAGTAATTTTTTTTCCGAAGTTTGACGGAAAGGAGGAATAGTGTGATTATTTGAAGCAATTAGCCACTCAATTGCTGACTGCACAAATTATCCCTCCAAGATGCATAGTTTTTGCCAACTATAAAATTGCAAATTGTATGATATATCAACTACATGTATTAAAAACCTGTCAAGAGCGACCAGTCCGGCTGTAGTTTAATATTTGTCGTCTCTTTCCATTAGAATACATGTATTAAAAATTCAGCCACCATTTCTCTGTCTCTTTCCATCAGAATATTAAAAATCAGCCAACATTTATATGTCTCTTTCCATTAAAATAGTTAAAATTCAGCCAACATTGCTGTGTCTCTTTCCGTTAGAATACTTAAAATTCAGCCAACAATTCTTTTCCTCTTTCCATCAGAATATTAAACTTCAGCCAACATTTCTGTGTCTCTTTCAATTCAGCCAACATTTCTATGTCTCTTTCCATTAGAAAACTTAAAATTCAGCCAACATTTCTATGTCTCTTTCCATTAGACTACTTAAAATTCAGCCAATATTTCTATGTCCTATTCCGTTAGAAAACTTAAAATTCAGCCAACATTTCTGTTTCTTTGCATTAGAATACTTAAAATTCAGCCAACATTTCTACGTCTCTTTCCATTAGAATATTAAAAATTCAGCGAGATAGAAGGGTTTATAAGACTGGTCTGGGTACACTGTGATAAACTACTAAAGTATTTTATAAGTGGCGGCGTAGTCGAGTGGTTAACACGTCGGACTAGTAATCTATGGATTGCTGGTCGCGTTGGTTCAAACCCTGTCAGAGACAAACCGTTGTTTCCATGAGCAAGCATTGTTTAGTACTGGTTGGTTCCAGGAACGGATTTGAAAGTGTTTCAATAAACGTATAGCTTGCAACATAATTGAACTATATACTATCATAAATTAGTATAAACTAAACTACTGATCTTCAGCACAATGTTTGATATCATAGCCAGATAGATGTTTGGATATTCAGTCCAATTTTATCAAAAGAGGATTACAACTATATTGTTAAGTAACGTATGATCATGACACACGTGTTAAACATATCACGTACTTTACAGGTATCCCTCTTTGATTACTTTCCTTACAGAGAACAGAAGCCAACAAAAATATTTAATTATTTTCCCTTTTTTGTTAATTTGCGTTTTTCTTTGAACTATTTTTAGAAGTGCATGATTCATAATTGCATGAAGGGACTGGATGATGCCATTTAGTGATACATCAAATCATAGAAGGGTTCAGATCACGGAGTCATGGCGTCTACGAACGCTCCATTAAATGGAACAAACGTGGAGTTTATTTATCTAACTTTCTGGGATAAGGTGGCCATTTCCGGCGGTGCAATCGGCTTCCTTCTGTTGGTATCGGTGTGTATGGTATGCTTTCTGTGTCCCGAGTGTTTCTGCCATGGTATCTGCTTTGATGACGATGATGCAGAGGAGAGGAAAAAGAAACAAGCGAAGAGTAAGAAATTCGGTAAGTTTCTCACATCAATATTTGATCGTCGGATAATAAATACACATTTTTAATTTTTCTAAACGATGTTAATTATTGTAAATTATTATTAATAGGTATTTCATACTTAATTTTTTTGCGTTAAAAGAATTACATGACGGTAAAAATGAACTGAGACGAAAAAAACTAGAAGAGACGGAAGAACTATATCACAATGGATAAACGAGTCCACTTCCTGTTGTTGTTCGGTGTTTTTAAGGACACAAGATAAAATATAAAGGGTCCCAAGAAAGTTATATACATTGTATAAACAAGTTTAATTGCAAGACATGGTACACAGTCATTTTGTTTATCCACTATAAATATATTGTATTCGCGACATAAATGAAGCCTGAGTGACATTTTTTTTCGTAATTACCATGTAATAATCTGTTATATGATGGTTTAATCAATTATTGCAACAACAGAGAACATATTAGGTTTCCATCCATTTTGCTGCAAGATACAATCAACAACTTTATTTCTGATGAATATTCGGTGACATATTTTGTAGGAAAAACAAGTTGTATAATTACGTCAATATAAGTCGATTGGGTGATATTTTATACCAATCCGTGTATGTTATATTACATTTTTAATCACCATCAATCGTTTAACATCTGCTGTTCTTTTCATCACTCTAAAGAAGGAATCAATTCTTTTGTGTCTTTAGTTTGAATAGATCAGTATATGAGCTGCGTCACGACAAAACCAACATAATGGGTTTGCAACCAGCATGGATCCAGACCAGCCTGCGCATTCGCGCAGTCTGATCAGGATCCATGCTGTTCGCTATCAGTTACTTGTAATAGGGTTGGTAAACGAACAGCATGGATCCTGATCAAACTGCGCGGATGCGCAGGCTGGTCTGGATCCATGCTGGTCGCAAACGCACTATTTTGGTTTTGTCGTGACGCGGCTCAAATATATAGCATTTTCCCCTTTAAGCAAATCAAAGCCACACCCTAAGTCAATAATTTTATATTTTGTGATATTTTGAACTTTACCATGTGTTAAAAACATTGTGAATAAAGTTATAAACTTTGTACGTACATACTAGTATACCTCGCACTCAAAGTTAAACTCAATCCCTGTTTGTCACAAAAAGAATTCAGTGCTAAACATGTCGCGAATGTAATTAACTAACTTGACAGGTCTTGGGGGGGGGCATAAAGTCTTCTCATGGGTGTGTATAAAATACAAGATTTTTATTGTGTTGAAATAGTTATTAAAATATTGGAATGAATTAGATCTGCAATAATATGACAGTATTTTGTTTTCATCTCAACAAAACCACACCTCACAAATATTGTTAACTGTGTACAATGTTCTATACTCAACAAACCAAACAGAACAATCTCTTTTTGATTTTCTTGAAAGGCCCAGTAAGCCTCAAAAAGTTATTACTTTCCAAAAGCTTTTTATTTTGGATGTCCAGTTACAGTGTACAAAATGTTACTGATTGGCAATAAAGCTGAGCCAATTATTTTGCCTCTTTTGTATATTGCTCCAGTGAGTCTTAGCATTTTGTACGGAAGTCAAAATACTACTTTGTTTACATTTTGCTATCTTTATCACAAATTATTCAACATTCAGTGCTAATTTCTTTAGGTAATAAGCATCTTATATGTTCTATATCCATTATTACCACATTATAAAATATTTATTGGCCCATTCTACAGAAACAAAAACAAATCATAACTGCAGCTTCATGCGCCTTTAATATTTAACGCCTCTCCACAGCTGCATCCCCTTCTTTATAATTTAAGGGAAGTTACCGCTGTGTGAAATTCTTTTGATTTTCTTCGACAGGTTCTCAGAAGTCAACATCCAGCAAGGGAAGTTATGGATCGACCGAGTCAGATTACTTCTACAGCGCACCTCCTCCTGACGCTACCGATTCTGGACCAATCAAATGGAAACCTTTAGATCTCATCAAAGAACGGGAGCAGTCTGATTGGTCGTCTGATACCGGGAGTGGACTTGAAGTGATCAAGCTAGAAAAGGTTTGAATGTATCGTCTAAGTTTTGAAAGTTTAAACTCTGTGTTTTTACGTACAGCTTGGAAAACTGATATGATCTCTCAGACAAAAGCGCATTGTTTAGAATTTTTAAATCGGTCATCAAGTAACATTTCATTTAACAACTTCAATTATTCAGGCGTCCATATTCGTGTTTCTAGCAAAAGTTTAAAATGGAAGGAAAGCATACACGTCTGGCCTTTCATGTTTTTATTTTTTAAATTTATTGTTATGGCATTGAGGAATATTGATCTGGCGTCAACAACATAAAACATCTTCTTATTGTGCGAACAAAAAACAAAACAACAACAAACAAACAACCAAGAGACAAAGAAATTTTTCCATTCTTTGACATTGTTTGAATGCTTGAAAAAAACTTGTTTTCTGTAATTGTTTGAAGACACGAAACCTTATTCTCAGACATAAAAACCTTTTTTTTTAAAGTTTAATGAAATGAAATACACGTATTGTTTGTTTAAAGACAATAAACCTAACCACATTGTTTACAAACATGATATTCTCTTAAATCTTAATTAATAGTTAGAAGCTCACAAGAAGAAAAATACTATCTAAAAAGCTCAAAAGGAGCGGGGTACAAGTAGCGATATACTTTTCTTTTCTTTTTTTATTGTATTAGCAATCAACTTACTTATATGCTGGTCTACTTTTCGTAGGCACGGTTAGTGTTTATCCAGATAGACCCGACTGAGGACTGTTTATGCGAAATAAACTGCCAGAAATTTTGAAATTAAGGAATTCTAATTGGACGAAAAAGTAGGGAAAAGAATATACAACAAAAAAACCTTACTGAACAATAATTGTATTCTTTGAATTTAATGAAGTATTATTTGACAATGTTGAAATATTGATTGACGATGTTAAAATATTTATTGAAATACTTTTTGGCATTGTTAAAATATTCTTTTACATTGTTAAAATATTTTTTCAAAATACTCTCTCACATTGTTACAAAAATATTCTTTGGACATTATTGAAATACACGAAATAATTCTCTGGTATTATTATATACACATAGAACATTCCTTTGACGTCAGTTATAGACATGAACAAAACCTTTCTAGCCAAATTCAACGATCTTAAAATATAATTTTATCTGTTTTTTTCTGACATCATTTAGAGACGGGAATTTTGTGTCTTTAAATAAAAACTTGAAACCTTGTTCTCGGACTTCAAACAAGGTCATGTAACATTATCCTCTGATCTGAAATAAAGGTACAAAATTTCAATTATCTGCCTTAAAACAAAGACATGGAATTTTCGTCTATGATATAAAATACCTCAAACAAAGGCACTTAATTTAATATTATTCTCTAATATTCAGTAAAGTCATAAGACTTGTGACCCTAAACCACGAAACCTTATTATTCTCTGGGAATTTTGAAAGATATCATATCTAATTGTCTGACAATTTTCTTACATGACATGTTATAGCATGGCATTGTTTATAGACATATGTGATGGTTGTAAGACATAAACTTGTTTGAATTCTGTCATAAAAAACTTATTCTTATATAACTTATTTTGTTTCTAAAAACTTACCAGGATTCTCAAATTCATTTTTTTCTCTAACCTTTACATCATTATCTTTCAAAGCAAAGTTCCTAAATTAATAATTTATCTCATGATTTAAAACAGAATGCTTATTCATTTGTTAAATCCTTATGAAATTGATTATATCATTAGTACATCGATGATTTTATGTTATATGCAGAACGCGCATGTGCAAAATGTCTTTCTTTGTTGTACTAGACTTAACCTGCTCTAAGATCTTGGGTTATGACGCTTTTTACTAAGATTCAATTTTAAGAAATTCTCCCCTTTAAATTTGATATGAAACCATAATTACATTGTCATTTATCTATATTTCAGATAAAACGTAAAAGCTTGATTATTCATGATACTCTTCAAAATGGAGATCTCCATGACGACATGAGGTCAGTGATAGAAGGTGCGATTATTGACTTCACCCTTAGTTACAGTCTTTCAGAAGAGAAGCTAACTATAAAAATTATAGAAGTTAAAAACATGAAAACCGGTGAAGAAAACATTTTAGTGTCACCGTATATAAAAATCCGCATTTACAAGACGCCTAAGCAATTTTTCACATTTCGCGATCATTCTGAGAAAGGACCTGTGATTATTAACTTAGAAAAAGAATTTAAGACAAAAATGCATCGTCCCTGTGAAGTTCTTGCTTACAAAGAAACTTTTGAAATACCCGTAGACTTGGAAACATTGAAATTGTTTACGCTCCGCCTACTTTTGTGTGATATGGATAAATTATCTCGTCACGTGATACTGGGCGAGACTTCAGTGATTTTGAAGAAAACGGATTTATGGACGGTGAAAGATTTGAAGTTTTCTGAGAAGTTTAGAATTCCAGTTGAGGTAAAGTGAAATTTGCATATTCTAGTTTTCGAAATAGCGCATTTTTGGTAATCTAACTTTAACATGATCATTCATTATTTAGAAGTTACTCATATTGTTATTACCTGGAATTACATTATGTAAGGCACTGCCACTGAAACACTAACTTGAGTTAGGCAAACTAAATGTGTTAAAATAGTCCTTAAAGTTTTACTTAAACCTGTTCGTTAGCTAGCCATTGTCATATCAAATTCCATGGTCTCTTTTTATAATTAAATTAAATGGTACATGGTATATAGATAACACTGAAATAGTGCATATGCAGAAACGACACCAAATCTCAGATGCAGATAATTTATATAAGAAATTTCGATAGTTTCTTGTTATTCACTGTTACTCGTTAATAAAGTAAAAATATAATTTAGTAAAAGTAAGAGTTGCATGCATTTTCAATTGTCTAATTTAGTTATAACTTTATAAATTTGAACATTCTTGACAGGAGAATCTTGGAAGTATATCCATAGGCTTGAGTTATTTACCTACGTCAGAGAAGATGTACCTGACAGTGGAATCTATCAAAGGTTTGAAGGTGATGGACCGGAAGTCCGCCAGTACAGGTATGATTTATTTCGCAATTCATTTTAGCATATTTACTTACAATAGTTGAATTAAGTTTGTTCTCCCTATTTACAATAAAAGGGTTTGCATCGGCAAATTCGACCAAATTCGCATCTTTTCTTTTCTGATTTTGCGTCCAGGTAGGCTTATCAAGATGTCTGTATTGCTCCAGGTGAAATAGACGCTTGTTTACATTGATGTTGCCAGTGCTATGGGACTGATGTTGCACTTTCTGTTCAATCAAATTATTCCAGTTCGCGACTTCCATTTATCATTGTTTTATATTCTCCCCTTTTCTTGCATATCAGACTGGCGTTTCCGTGCGTTTTACCCATGCCGGAAATTTCATCTGGCATGAGGGTGCCAGATGAGTCGCGTGCTGTACAATGGCACGCTTAGGATGACGTCATTTTACCGTTATGAATGAAGTTGTAATTCATACGCTGTTGTAAGAAAGTAGTTACGGTTGTAATGATATAAATTTCCATTGAAATTAAAGATAAAGAATTTAAAATGTAATGGAATATGGTAGAATATGCAAGAAGAAATATCTGATATATGTTTGCGTTGGGATCGGAATATCCGTCCCTCGGTCACCCGCCCATGGTCGGTAACTCGGCAAGCCTCGTTACCGCCCAATGGGCGGGTCACCTCGGGACGGGTATTCCGATCCGAACCGCAAAATATGACAGATATTATTATTCCAGAATGTTAATTTCTTCGATATGGAAACGAAATGAAAACTGCCTAATTTCAATGCATGAAAAATACTTTACAAGCACCAGGCAATCCAGGCAATGAAGGTTAAGTAAGCCTTAGATAGAATAAGCAACACATTATATAGAGGATGAATAGTTTCTAAAAGAAAATAATTCATACTGTCATTTCGAGCTTATATAATATTTTGATTAATAAAGATCAGTAATTAAGTATGCTAACGACTTTGAACTACATTTGTACCTTATATTTCAGATGCCTGTGTGAAGGCGTACCTCATGTATGATGGAAAACAGCTCAAACGAGTCAAGACCACAGTTCGAGCGTCTGACCTTAATCCCGTATTTAATGAGAGTTTCTCATTCGACGTCCCGAACTCTGAAGTCGAGAAAATCTATTATTCATTGGTTGTTTGCCATTATGACGCAGAGAATAAATCCAGCAAGATCATTGGTCGAGTTTATATTGGAATGAACTTTGACCCTGAAGCCAGAGAGCACTGGACGAGTATGGTGCATAATCCGAGGAAGAAAATTGTTGCTTCATATAAAATAAAAAATTGAACCAATTAGTACCAAATATATTTGCTACATTATATAAACATAGTGAAATGTATATTTTAGATGTAAAAATAGATGTAAAATCAAGAGAATGTTTATACACATACACTTACAAGAGGCGGTTGTTTTCGACAACTCCCTCGTGAATTTTTGATGTAATTTTAACCTTTGCTCTAGTAAGTAAACCACGAAGCTGCTTGTTTTTCTTAAAATATCCAGGTATCATGTCGATTTCAAACCAACATACCAAACGTATATTATTTACCCACATGGAAAACATGGATATTTGCAGCAAGGAAAAGAATTTTGCAAGTAGTTCCCAATACATCAAATAGGCCCGTTGTAAGTATTGAAACACCCCTTTTTGTCGCTGGAAAGTAAACAAACATTAAAGTAGCTTGCCTCCAGATGTATGCTAATTTTGAAAATGAAGTTAAAAGTATAAAAATGTGAAATTATCAAAGAAAGGAATTTACCCTCTGCAAACGACACAAACAATCCACGTTAATTGCTTAACAAAATATGCAAACAATTAATAGCCCTGAAACGCAATTGAAATATGGTGATAAAAACTGCAAAATCAGTCATTTATCATTTGTAAATAATTACTTAAATTTTCATTATTTTACCTTATCTTAGAACATTTTTCTCAAGTTTGATGTTCTTGAATTATTTTTGGCTCATCTGGAGGCATGCAGCTTTAAAATTGCAATGTTATATAATGATAATAATAAGAAGAATAGTTTTAATGGGTTATAATTGTATCTATTAATTGACCTTTGACAGATCGACGTTAACATAGCTAGTTATTTCGAATGCTCAGGGAAAGTGAAGTAACTTCAAAATAACTGTATATTTCAAACAGCATCAGAATACAATTAAAATAAGAAATATATAGAATTAAAATTACCTTTCAGTTGTTTCTGAATAAAACGCGACAAAAAGATTTGTTGCATTTTGTATAGTTTTTGTTATTGATAAATGTTGACGTTGTTATTTTTCTGTTGTGTAAATAAAATTTATTAACGTTGTAGGGCATTGTATACCGGTTAACATGTTGGTGTCATTGTAAAATCCATCCACAATAAATCATACCATATCACAGTCTTCTTGTCCTTCATATAGGCCCTCTAGTAGTAGTAGTTTTCAGTTTGTATATACTCTGCGCCGGAATAACCATATGTCCGACATTATAGCATCCTTATTTTTCGATTTTGATATTTATTTTAAAAAGTAAACACGACTTTGCTAGTTAATGTTTCTAGACCGTAAGATGTTAGATGTGAACTAAAATGAAAAATAATATAATAATATATATGGCAAACCCTTATAATTATATAATAATAGTAATGTCAAAAGGTCCTACATAGTACTTATGTCAAATCCTTTAGGAATAAGTAATGTAAAGCTTATATTTAACGTTACCCTGACATTCGTCTTCTACGAGATTCGTCCTATATTAACATTTAAATTATGACATTCGTGCTATATTTGATGCTTCTACGAGATTCGTCCTATATTAACATTTAAATTATGACATTCGTGCTATATTTGATGCTTCTACGAGATTCGTCCTATATTAGCACTTAAATTATGACATTCGTGCTATATTTAATGCTTCTACGAGATTCGTCCTATATTAACATTTAAATTATGACATTCGTGCTATATTTGATGCTTTTACGAGATTCGTCCTATATTAGCACTTAAATTATGACATTCGTGCTATATTTAATGCTTCTACGAGATTCGTCCTATATTAGCACTTAAATTATGACATTCGTGCTATATTTGATGCTTCTACGAGATTCGTCCTATATTAGCACTTAAAGTATGACATTCGTGCTATATTTGATGCTTCTACGAGATTCGTCCTATATTAACATTTAAATTATGACATTCGTGCTATATTTGATGCTTCTACGAGATTCGTCCTATATTAACATTTAAATTATGACATTCGTGCTATATTTGATGCTTCTACGAGATTCGTCCTATATTAGCACTTAAAGTATGACATTCGTGCTATATTTGATGCTTCTACGAGATTCGTCCTATATTAGCACTTAAAGTATGACATTCGTGCTATATTTGATGCTTCTACGAGATTCGTCCTATATTAGCACTTAAAGTATGACATTCGTGCTATATTTAATGCTTCTACGAGATTCGTCCTATATTAACATTTAAATTATGACATTCGTGCCTATATTTGATGCTTTTACGAGATTCGTCCTATATTAGCACTTAAATTATGACATTCGTGCTATATTTAATGCTTCTACGAGATTCGTCCTATATTAGCACTTAAATTATGACATTCGTGCTATATTTGATGCTTCTACGAGATTCGTCCTATATTAGCACTTAAAGTATGACATTCGTGCTATATTTGATGCTTCTACGAGATTCGTCCTATATTAACATTTAAATTATGACATTCGTGCTTATATTTGATGCTTCTACGAGATTCGTCCTATATTAACATTTAAATTATGACATTCGTCCTATATTTGATGCTTCTACGAGATTCGTCCTATATTAACATTTAAATTATGACATTCGTCCTATATTTGATGCTTCTACGAGATTCGTCCTATATTAGCACTTAAAGTATGACATTCGTGCTATATTTGATGCTTCTACGAGATTCGTCCTATATTAACATTTAAATTATGACATTCGTGCTATATTTGATGCTTCTACGAGATTCGTCCTATATTAACATTTAAATTATGACATTCGTGCTATATTTGATGCTTCTACGAGATTCGTCCTATATTAGCACTTAAATTATGACATTCGTGCTATATTTAATGCTTCTACGAGATTCGTCCTATATTAACATTTAAATTATGACATTCGTGCTATATTTGATGCTTCTACGAGATTCGTCCTATATTAGCACTTAAATTATGACATCCGTGCTATATTTAATGCTTCTACGAGATTCGTCCTATATTAGCACTTAAATTATGACATTCGTGCTATATTTGATGCTTCTACGAGATTCGTCCTATATTAGCACTTAAAGTATGACATTCGTGCTATATTTGATGCTTCTACGAGATTCGTCCTATATTAACATTTAAATTATGACATTCGTGCTATATTTGATGCTTCTACGAGATTCGTCCTATATTAACATTTAAATTTATGACATTCGTGCTATATTTGATGCTTCTACGAGATTCGTCCTATATTAGCACTTAAATTATGACATTCGTGCTATATTTAATGCTTCTACGAGATTCGTCCTATATTAGCACTTAAATTATGACATCCGTGCTATATTTAATGCTTCTACGAGATTCGTCCTATATTAACACTTAAATTATGATATTCGTGCTATATTTAATGCTTCTACGAGATTCGTCCTATATTAACACTTAAATTATGATATTCGTGCTATATTTAATGCTTCTACGAGATTCGTCCTATATTAGCACTTAAATTATGATATTCGTGCTATATTTAATGCTTCTACGAGATTATGATATTCGTGCTATATTTGATGCTTCTACGAGATTCGTCCTACATTAACACTTAAATTATGGCATTCGTGCTATATTTGATGCTTCTACGAGATTCGTCTTATATTAACACTTAAATTATGGCATTCGTGCTATATTTGATGCTTCTACGAGATTCGTCTTATATTAGCACTTAAATTATGGCATTCGTGCTATATTTAATGCTTCTACGAGATTCGTCCTACATTAACACTTAAATTATTATATTCGTCCTATATTTAATGTTTCTACGAGATTCGTCTTATATAAACACTTGAATTATGATATTCGTGCTATATGTAATGTTTCTACGAGATTCGTCTTATATTAACACTTAAATTATGATATTCGTGCTATATTTAATGTATCTACGAGATTCGTCCTATATTTACACTTAAATTATGACATTTGTGCTATATTAAACGTTTCTATCGAGTATGTTTTTCCCTCAGTTAAAGCCCATGCTATTGTCTCATTTTAACCCGTTATTAACGTGTTTGAAAATCATGTATTGGGTGCATTGCACGACAAATTTATCACGAAAATATTCATTAAACCATCGCAAACCTTTAATTGAAATAGATCTTATCTTATTCGTAACGATAATCCGTCTTTGACATCCAATGATAAACTAATTTCCAATGAAATAGCATTTTAACTGGAACAAAATGTGCGTTGTGCATGTATATTTGATAGGATTTTGACTGACCTTTATAGAAATAAATGTATAAATAACTACAAGTTGTGCACAGTCACGTGACTGTTATTGGGTCAATGCTATGTCGCTCACTCGGCTAAATTTACCAGGGTAGATAGCACTAGAGGTCTAAAAATATCCGGTGTCTTCTGATTTCTCAGACAATTAAAATCGTCTGAATCATTGTACTATTTTTACGAAATTTTACTGGAAAGTCAAACAGTCAATCTTGCCTTGGTTATGTTTAAGAAAAAACTAGAATGTAGCCTTGATTCTATTTCTACAATAATTATAGTTTATTAGTGAGATCCAGTGAACATCGATGTTATTGGATGATTGCTAATACATGAAAAGACCTGTTATGTTTTAACCATTATTGATGAAAAATTACTTTTAGATATGGTTTACGAATTTGTCTAAACAGTCTAAATGGGCGCTAACCAAATTTATTACTAAATAACAATCAATACGAGTTACTTACCTTTGAAACAAATCTGTGCAATGGTCATTGAACATGAAGTAACCACAGGGAACTTTGTTCTTATTTTATTAAATTTATATATAAAAATGTTTTTAATAATATCTTGTGCATGTATCAAAGTGAATCATTTTTTTGAATTATCGATTCTTTTATGAGTGTCCAACAATCAAAAGAAAAAAGCTGTCGTATACTGCGTTCTATTTACTTTTTCATGAATTGAGCAATTTTGAGTTGTATCCCTTGTTAGGGAAAAGAAAAAAATGACAGAAGCCCCTGTGGAAGTAACTGCAAAACAATTATATTTTAAAAACCATCAATATAAAGTTTAGTTTATAGAGAATTTATTTCGTTTAGCTAAATTTAGTAAGAAGCTATAAGTTAATAGGAGCACTATCAAATCTGTTGACACAGCAGTTTAATACACATTTAGTTCACCTTTACTGCTTTTAAGAAAACAACAAAATAAGACATTTAGTAAATCTTGCATATGTTTTTTTTCTTATATATATGCTGAGGGTTTTTACTGTACTATTTTTCATTCCTTCAAGGAACTCCACTGAGGTTTTTTAACATGATGGGACTGAAAATATTTTTTCCAGATAATTGTACCATTTGGTGTAGGTTTAGACCACTAATCTTTGTGCAAAATTTCAGATCATTTGCGCACACCGTTTTTCCAGAAATATTATTCAAATTGTAAAAAACTGACCCAAACTGAAAAGCGTTTAAACGCTTTCCGCTCAAATTAGGCTAAGAAAAGCATAAAAATACGATTTTCAATTTATTTCAAAGTATATTTCTTAACCAACTGTCTTTGCATATATTTCTGTTTAAAGTGCCCCAGCTCATTTATGTAAGAAATTAAGTAAGAAATGTTATGTTTTTAGACTTTTAAACCTCAGTGGAGTCCCTTTAACGACTACAGAAGCACGAGGACGTATTCACAAATTTCAATGGATGAAACTGTACATTTGCGCTATTCTTGCATAAAGGTATATCCCTTATCACTTTTTTTTATTAATCGGTGTGTGAAATAAACGTTTGTGCTTAAGTTCAGATTTGATTTGAACTTAGAAAAATTGACGTAATTATATACCATTTGCAACTTCCTGATGATGACATAATAACAGTATAACAGTATATTTACAAGATAACGAATAGTGCTTATATTAATAGGCAAAGCAACGGTCACAGAACGCAGCCCGACCCCCCCCCCCCACAATCCAGTCACACCAGTAGGGCACCCGGACGGCACCGAACTAAAAATTATAAAAGTACATAAATCATTATATATAATATATTGTACTAAATCAGTTTATTTACATATTTTACCTCACTGTTGAAGCAAGAGACATAGATTATATTATATACATTTCTATTTTAATACAAATCCCATATTAAGACAGTCTTACCGAAACGAAACTTTAAGACAGATAATATATGGTATTCGAACATACATGATTATATTACTTAATTTATTATTTACCAGGTAGTCATGTGTTTAAGATATATACTAACATATTTGTGATAAAAATACATGTAAAAATTCAAATGAAATCAATACATTTCTCATTGAGATGTTTATTACAAATTGGCATACTTATATGACTACATACATATAATAACATCATCTATCTAATGGTTTATTTGAATATCTCTAATTCACATATAAGACCGAATTTCGAATATTAAAAACATTAATATATCGTCTAAGGTTCCTAGAATATTCTTATTTTCTGAATAAATACAAGAAGTATGAATTTGAACATACTAGGTCTTGTCCAAAAGCGTCTATCAATATACTTTTTCCTCATATCGGTAAATAACACACATTCTAGTTTAAAATTAGCTATCTGGGCTTCGCTGCACTCAGGGATCCTTTTGTTATTGAAACAAATACCTAAATAACAAAACGTTTTAACAATCTCAGTTGCTTCAACATTAAATATTTTAAACATGATTAAGTCATAATCATGTGTAATATAACTATACACGAAAAAGAATCTTACAGTGTAATTTTCCCATCATGATTCAACTTTGACTAATTCTAAAAGCTTGCGTTTCTCTCTTAAAGGGATGAGTTCAAAGATTTTAGAGTCCAAGTTTTTCTTTTGCCAGCAGTCCTATTGTTCGTCTGTCAATCTTCCCAGTGGCAGTCAGAGGTACCTTGTCTAAAATAATGTGGTACAACGGCTTGACGGTAACTCCAAAAGCAGTTGATTGCTCCAGAAACATTTCATCGCAAAACTTTTTAATATCACACTCCGTCAAGAATGCGCCTTGTTTAGGTAATAAACATGCGCAAAAAACTTGGCCTAGCCTTGTATCCGGTACACCGACCGCAAATACGTTTTCAGCTGCTGGTATGTTTTTCAGAACGTTTTCAATAGACCAAGGAAAGAACTTATTAGTTCCAATTGAAATCATCTCTTTTTTCCGTCCATCAACAACACAGTTCCCATCCTGGCGAAAGTGAGCCATGTCACCCGTATGGAACCAATCTTGTGTGTCGACTACCTCCCGGAACAATTCTTTCATCCCCCAGTAAGTAACAAATCTAAAAGGGCTTCTAACACACAGCTCACCTTTTGTACCAATCGGAACAACATCTCCGTTTTCATCAACTACTTTAAACTCGTAACCTTCCATCGGTTTTCCTGTAAGAATACTATAGATAAGTGCATGTTTAAATACAAATATATACAATATACATTTCTCTTCTATATCTTAATGAAAGCTGATAAATACAAAGACACTTGGTCGTCAGATCATGCCTACTTTGCTCCGCCCTTGTCAAATCTCTCAGTAATTTATATATGTATATATTAATATTGTAAAACGAATGTGGCATTACTTCAGTGTCACTCATAAAACGTGTTTCCACATGATTCAGAAAAATTCTATTAAAATTAGGTTTATTTCATTTAGCATTGATTGTAAATGGGATCTTTATAATCTAATATGTGGAAATTGTTACAAAACATGTTTATGAATGACACATCTGTCCCACTACCGTGAAAATGTTTAGTAGTATGGATGGCCTGTTTGCGGCAGGGGCCTATAACAGAATATCTCTGTGTTTGTTTACTGAACCGCAGAAGTGACATGCGAGAAATCTTTCTTATTTACTAATTGAGAACACTAGAATAATGATGATGATGATGATGATAAATAGAAGATGAAGAAGAACAGAAGAAAAACAGGAAAAGACATTCAGAAATTCACTGTCGACTGTCGTCCCTACGTGATAATAAAAATAAAGATAAAACGAATCGAGACGAAAGGCATGGGCGTGGTCACGTGAACTCGTGGCCATGACATTCTTTAAAAGAAAGATCGCTCGTGGTCACGAAAAATAGAAAAAAATGTATCACTTTGCGCAGTCGTTGTTAAGCGGATTTACTAATTTTTGTGTTGCTTTTTTAATGTTTAATTCGTTGTAGAAAATTAGTAAAGTTTTTGAACGGCTGTGAAATTTAAAGGTTGTACCCAGTTGATATATATATGAGGTACTTTTGAAAACAACTTCATTATGTATACATACCTATCATGCCGTCCTCGAAATCATCCCCACTTACACCACTGAAAAAACTCGCTATCCCAATCTCTGTTGTTCCATATAACGCTAAAACATCATTGCAAAAGCGTGCTTTCAAAGCTTGATAGTGGGTATATTGTATCCTTTCACCGCCCAAGAATATGGTTTTCACTTTGTTGAACTTGTTTGAGACTTCTGGTTTATTCAGCATATCAACGACCATATAGATAGGTAAATAAACAACGTCACAGCATTCTCGTTCTATGACGTCAGCAAGGAATTCGCTATGTTGTCCAGCAATACTCAATTTCGTGTCAACAAAAACTCGGGTGGCGCCATCTGTTACGTAAGTACGTGGAAATCCAAGGGCCCAACTAATTGTACGATCACAGAAAAACACACTTTTCTCAGTGATGTTCACATGTTTATTAGAAGATTTCGTCCAATTCAAAGCCCCAAAATGTGTGCAAACAATTACTTTTGGCTTACCAGTTGAGCCGGAAGTACAAAAGTAAGTCAACTTGTCTTCAGGCTGAATATTTGGAAGTTTTATATTTGTGTCCGAATTCTTCTGTTGAAACGAAGAAAGGCTCTTTCTTGTTTCAGTTTCCCTGTCTATATTTCCGTTACAAATAACCATTTCTAGACATGACGCAACCTTTGACCGACTCTGACTTTCAGGCCAAATATTTTCAAGGACTTTCCAATTTTCATCTCCTTTATTAGTATCTATTATAAGGAGCTTCGCCTCGAAGTTGTTGATAAACTCTGCTAAATCACTTCCGTCCTTGAGATTTGTTGATACATAAAATGGTACGCCTCCCGCCATAATCACGCCTAAGTTTGATGTCAACATTTCTAAGGAATTAGTCATGCATATTGCAACTGTTGACCCTTTTTCGACACCATACTTTACAAAGTTTTCTGCAGCAATGGTAGCTTGATCTAATAGTTGTTTTCTTGTAAGACTTTTTCTTTGTTTGCTAAAATCGTAGAAAACAAACGCTTCTCTGTCCGGGTCTGCAGCCGCTAGGTGTCGTAGTCTGTCAGGAAATGTCCCATAAATGTAAGGAGTGGTTGAAGGACAACAAGAGTAGCTCAAACCTTGATTTTCCTCCATTTTAGCACCGCTGTCGAGAAAAAATTACACACTTTATTAAGTAAGATATAGCTTTTAGAGAAATTTGGTCATCAATAATAATAATATTATTTTCTCAATTGTATGAAACACTTTCAGACATCAAGGAGACTTATACACACAAACTTAACACTGCAACCTAATTTGTAAAAGTAAGAGACATAAACAACAACAACAACAACAACATAATTTATTGCATTATAAGATCTCCGGTCAAAAGTACATTCAAAATATCATCAACTTTAGAGTAGCGTCGTTATTTATTTTTTTAAATTAATATCTTATCAAACATATTATATAGAAAATATTTTAGGTATCTGTCTCACAAACAGAGATATTCTTGTATTTAGGAAGATATTTTGACAAAGAAAGAAGTGTATATGTAGTTTTGTTTGAATAAAATGATTCCCTAAAACATTTATTCATAAATGGTCTGCAAAAGTAATATATTGATATATATTGACTTGTACACTAAGTTAACTCCGGGATGGGGCTAATTTTTACCCTTGGGGCATTATTTATATAACTTTTGTAGACAAGGTGATTCTTCATAACAAGCAAATTAGTTTGGGCATTGTACTTCTGGAGAAGAAGATTGTAAGAATGTTTTGCTATACAACTCTGTATAGACTAAGTGACCCTTGGGCGGGGACCTGTTTTGACCCTAGTGTCATGTTCAGATCCACTATTAAAATTTGCATGTCAAATATTCAAGCTCTTGGCATTGTAGTTTCACAAAAGAAAACTGTATACATGTTTTTCCCATAAAAGTCTGTATAAACTAAAATCCGGAGTGTGGCCATTTTTACCCCAGGGGCATGATTAATGCAAGGTGTTGCTTCAACTAATAATCTGTGTTCTGGACAATGTACTTTCCGTGAAGAAAATTTTAAGACATTTTAACTATACAAGTTTATGTAAGGGGCAATTTTAAAATTTGTATTTGTAAAACAAGTAAAGGCATATGCATTTTCTTAACAAACGAATTGCATTTCCTATATATAGCTTATGTAAACAAATTGTCCCTAGTGTGGGGCCATTTTGACGAAAGGGACAGGATTAATGTAACTTTTGTAATGAAACCACACTTTCATGCTTTGTAATGAGATTATGTATAATTATGTAATTAGAACATACAGGATCTTTAGAAAAATATATTTAGGTTCATTATTATAATGAAATATTTTTATAAAATTTATAAACGGTAAGTAACGTTGTTTCCATAATTTTAAGTTGATTCTTGAAATAGTTATATAAAATGTCTATATTTAACACGCATGCATTGTATGTCAACAAAATACAATGTTCCGAAGCAACGTGACTATGCTGCTTAGTAGGTTTTTACAGTCTAGCAATAATTTCTTCCATGCAGCATTTCCACTGAAGGAAATAAATAAATACGTTTCTTTCATACAGGTATTTTAGAACTTTTTCCAGAATTTGAAAAATAATTTTGTTAACTACAGATATCAGATATTTCATACATTTTAAGAGCAGTCTGCGATACATATAGGAAGACAATTATTAAAATGAACATGTACGCGCATTTGAATTTAAAGAAAAAAAAACACTTTTGAAGTGAAATCAGTATTATAATAATGAATTTAGTCTCAAAATAAATACATTACGTATAAATCAACAATGTTAGCTTTTATAAAAAAACGCTTACTTACACTTATCTTAGCAAACCAATCCGTCTGCGTACAACAACATTAATATCTGGGCAAAACGTATTTTTTGTTTTATAAATGCTGCACAACAGACCAAAATCACTAAATTAAATCCTAGCACGTGCGCAACTCGTGAATGAAAAAACCTAAATGAAATTAAGATTTTAAGTAGATGTCGGTCAAGGATGTTAATATCTCATGCTCAGACATAATATCATCATTGAAGTTCTGCGTAGATTAGGAGTGTTCCAAAAATAGACTGACCTCGGAAACATTTTTTTGCCGGTCGGTTACCTTCTGTTATCATTCATAGCATGCAGTGTTCAAAAGTTCAAGCGAAAAAAATAAAGTGGCAAAAAAGATACTGTTAGAAAGGTGTAACTAAAAGTGAGCACAGCTAGGTTTTGTCAGTGTTTCTTAATACTATAAGGTTAAATAAGTGTGAGAATACAACAAAATAAAACGAAAACGCGCATGAAACGGCAGAAATAAACAAGCAAAAAAAAGTTAATTAAATATACCTCGCCTGTTGATACAAATCACGTGATACATATATCAGAGTATATGTTGTATGTAAAACTATCATCCTTTCAGATATATTAAATAATAGTTACAATATGTCATTTTTTCATTCATTTAAAAATATTGATATAATATAATTTGCAGTTTTAGTGTTTAAATGTATAATGAAAGCATGCCAACTTATGCTTTTCATTCAATCCAGTTAGACCAGGAATGGACAAAATTTGAGTGTTATCGTGGACAAACCAGTTCTCAAACCCAAAGGCAGTCAATAGGTCTTTGAGTTTCAATAAAAATATATATTTATAAAAAGATTTACATATATTAACTTAAGTCTTCATTTCAGATTTCTGTCAAATTTGGCTGAAATTCAATAATTAAACCAGCTCCAAATCCACCTTAGAAAAACACAACACTCTTTTGTTTAACTCTCCTGGCGTCTTAAAATAAAGAATCTAATCTCAAACCTCTTTAAGTATCTTTTACTTTAGCCAATGAGGTGATCATCAGTTCACCATCATATAACATTTAAGAACCCTACATATTACAGGTACCTGCATCAGGATTTTTGTTTATAGTATTCATATTCACAATTAGTTATTGGTGAATTTATAGGACTTACAAAGGTTATATAATTTGTATGAAATAGCACTTTGTAGCAAATGTGTAATCTATTTACCAGAATTTGAGCAAAGACTTATTGTTTTAGGCAAAAAATAGCATTCAGGCTTAGAAAATTATATCGTACTGAACACTTTGTTTAGTTATACCAAAACAGACTTTTGTTTGGAAACATATTTAAGAAATATTAATTATACATTAATTGCAATGGTATACGTATGAATAATTGTAGACTTATAATATTAGCTGATTAAAACCGGAAGGTACGGAGGTAAGAGAATACTCAAAGAAATGAAAGATTATGTCAATTATGTAGCTTACCAGAAATTGAAGATGAATATCATTATATTTTGTTTGTTTATATTATCAAGATATTCGAAGAAGATTTATCAAGCGTTATTACTATACTAGTATTATACGTTGTATGAATAAAAAAGTTGATTTATTTCAATCAGAAAATAATGCTATACTTGTAAATTTAGGAATACTATAAATGTACAAGATCCGGAATAAACTATTTCTTCTCTTCTATTTTGTAATGTAAATATCCGTTTTCGTTTGACAGCAGCAGACATGTATGTCAGAAACTGAGCTCATGTAACACATGCTGATGATATCATAGACACTTCTAGTAAAAAAAATAACAGCTCAAATATAAAAGGTGTTGTAAGATATGGTGCTTGTACATAGCAATGTTAATTGAGAGATATACAAAGAAAATGTAGAAATTAATTAAAGATCGTACAAAAATATCTTGGTATCACTAATATGAAAAAGGCAAAGCCTCAAAGCGAGCTCGGTGTACTTTTTACGTGAAATAGTATGAAATAATCGCTCATTTTTATTTCAAATGCAGTAACGAGTGCGTGTGACGTCACACGTACTGTGTTAAATATGGCCCCGCCCCTGTCGTGAAATGAATAACGAGTTTTGAAAACGTTGATAAAACTTTGTTTATTTTATTTCACTCTATAATTTTTCAAGCGAAATTAAGATTATTTAAAGTGAAATAAATGTAAAACTTAAAACGTTTGCGACATTCAAATAGCGTACTTGATTTGTTTGTTTTGCACGTGCTGTTTGGCGCTACATTGTGACGTCACGTAAACAATACTTTAAACGTCTGTACAGCGTTAACGACTAAATAAAAGATATTGGTGTTCGGATTCATTTTCTTAGTTAGACCATTTTCTTACATTCTAGATAGTTTTCATAACAAAATTCGACAAAAAATTGTTTTTATTTATCAGATTTCAAACAAAATGGCGCCTTCGATTTTCATTTTTTATACACCGCTTCCGTTATTCTGGTTCACTGTCCAATAATGGTTCCCATAGACATGCGCGGGTGACCAGTCTATACATCCGTTTTCAGTCAGAATTCCTCAGTTTTTATCGTTATCTTTAAATTCGAAAGGTTGCGATGTGTCCAATTCGGTACTTTGAACGAAAGTTTTCAAAACCATCACTTAGCAGGTACTCGCGTTACCGTAAAGCTCGCTTTGCGAGCAGGCCCTTCGGGCCAGCTCGTCGAGCTCGCTATTAATATTCTTGAGTTTTAAGCAGTACATCTATACATAGATGCTGATATATCATACTGGCTTAAAAGTATGCTCTAGATAAAATTCAAATAGTAACAATTGCAAAGGTCATTAACTAGTATGAAAAGAAAAATTTAAAAAAAATACATGAAAAACTAAGGATAATAGTTGTTAGACATTTCACTTTTTCTTAATGTCATTCATGTCTCTTAAGTTTCAAGCTGATCCCTCTATATAGTTTTCAGTTATGCTCTTGAAAGAAAGAAACGTGATAAAAAAGCTGTAACTATAATATGAAATGAGGCAAAGCCTATGAACGGGGAAGTCGTAAAAAATTCCTTTCATTTTTTCCGTTTTAAAAGTGTCATTCGGTATTTCATGCACCACTTCCGTTTTCACTCGGAACACTCGACGTTTATTATTTATCCGAAAAGTTGAGATTTGTTCCGTTATCGGAATACACCGTCTTTTATCATTGAGTTACATTGTAAATGGTGGCGCCTAACTAGAACTGACACTGAAAATTTCATTGATAGGTATAGAATTCTATATATTTTTTTTATTTGATTTTCTTTTAAATATACACGTGTAGTCTATAGCCGGGCAAGCCAAAGCCCGGGCCCGCTTTGCGGGCCCGGACTTTGACTTCCCCGTATTAGTGTTTGTACCCCAGGATTAGCTGGGAAAAACAAACTTTTATTCCGGAGTAAGTATATTAAACAAAGTAACTTTCGTTGATATAAATAACACATAGATTTGCAAGTAACAGTAAAACAGGAGAATACTGTTACCCGAGGATAACATAATTCTAGGAGGGATGATATTTTTGCAGTTCAAACCGATGATATTTATTTTATTACCCCGAACAAATATTTCATTGGGACAGTGTTTCAGTTCAGATTTTTACTATGAAAAAGTACTGTTACCTATTGGTCTATGGTAAATTAACATTACAAAAATGGTGAGCTGTAATAAAAACATCTCTTTCATTGCCAATATATATTGTCCAACAACATTGACCTGGCACTCTTGCATTTGACCCTGTAGTCGGTATATTCCGTAAACGTTACGATCTACTTGTAAATCGATATGAATGTAAAAATCTAATTGTAGAAATGGTGTAAATTAAAAAAATCTCTCTAGCGCAGTTGGTAAAGGAGGTTCACTTGAATAATGTAGACGTAAACTGGTAGGTTCGAACCCAATTTCACAGATTTATTTTTTAATTTTATTTTAATTTTAAAATTATCATTCTCTAAAACCTATTGCGAACCTTTTTTTGTGTGTACTATCTATGTAGTATTTCAATATATGCCTTTATAGTTTATAGCGTGTATGCGCTAAAGCATACAAGTATACGATTGCATAATGTCACAAAAAAGAACCGTTGAAAGAAAGATACGGTAAGAAAATAAAAATATAATTGTATATAAACACCACTTAAAAGGTATTCTTAAACCAGGTTTTCTAAGAAAAACGATTTCAAATTAATTCTTCCAAGTAAATCAAAAAGAATAACGTGGTGTTGGTAAGGACTCGAACCAGAGACCATCAGATCGGTAGTCCGACATCTATACCAATACACCACACATCACTGACGAGTATAGCTAACAAATATATCGATATATTCGATAGATACTGGTCAGTGTTTATTCATATGACCTTTACGAAAGTTAATGAAGTGCCAGGTCAATATTGTTGGACAATACATATGATTCTAAACATTGTAAAGTCATATATACATGTATAAACAAATAACAGGTACACATACAAAAACGCTATACACAAGATTTTGACACATTTTGAGAGAAAATTATTTTAAACACTAATGCAAGTTAATCCATTTGTCTTTCTTTAATATGCTTGTATAATGTTGACAAGAAATAACAAATGATGTAAATATGTAGTTTTAATTTAGTATTTCGTTTATTTATTATGTAGAAGACAGCGTAGTTGTGAGATAGAGAAACATCCTGCTGTTTGTTTCTGTAGTGGTTAGAATTTAATAGTACTATATTAATCATGTTTAACTCGCTAACACACGCCAAAAGCATACGTTTCTGTCTAAATGGATATTGTCTCAAAAATTCAAGATCAAAGTCCAAGTTTTTCTTTCGCTTGTAATCTAATAGTTCGTCGATCAATTTTTCCAGTGGCAGTCAGGGGTACCTTGTCTATGATAATATAGTACATGGGTTTCACGCTTACTCCAAAAGCGGTCGACTTTTCCAGAAACATTTCATCACAGAATTTCTTAATATCTGATTCTGACAAAGAAATACCTTTCTTACGTAATACACATGCGCAAACTACTTGACCTAGCCTTGTATTCGGTACACCGACCGCAAAGGTATTTTCTGCATCTGGTAAGTTCTTCAAAACTTTCTCAATAGACCAAGGAAAGAACTTATAAGTGTCATTTGAAATCATTTTTTCTCCCGTCTGTCAACAACAAAGTTCCCATCCTGGCGAAAGTGTGCCATGTCTCCCGTATGGAACCAATTATGTTTGTCTACTGCCTCCCGGAACAATTCTTCCATATAAAGATAGGTAACAAATCTAAAAGGGCACCTGACGCACAGCTAGCCTTGTGTACCAATCGGACCAATATTTCTGTTGTCATCAACAACTTTAAACTCGTAACTATCAATCGGTTTTCCTAAAAGAAAACAATTGATTATTTTATAACTAATACCCGCACCTCGAAAATTAGTTTAAATGTATCATGCCAATTCTACACCTTCACTGTTACGATTTTTTCAATATACCAATTACTTATTATAAGTGTATTGATTGCACAACATAATTATATTGTGCATGCGGTTTTGTTTCAGGGGGCACAAAAGTTATTTTCGAAAAATTGTGTCTTAAAATTTCATGTCCATTAGATAGTTCAAGAGTAAAGCCAAATAAAAACTGCCAACTAATGTGCAATCTACTGTAAACTTAGAGAACCAAGGGCCGGTCACTTTTCACCCTGAATGTATGATTTATATATTTCTAGTATGTTTCTGTTACAGGTCAATGTAACAAAAGGGAAACCGGGGCGGGGAAAATCCTTGCTCCATTAGTTTGTTTATAATACTTTTGTAGATGGTCACATGCCAATTACATGATCAGAAGAAGAATCTTTTTATTTATATTTTTTTTTTATTATAAGGCTATGGTCCTATGGAAACTAAGTGCTATTATATTTTTAAGCATGATCTGTTAACTGTTAACATCTTTTGCGGTCTTTTTGACAATGTTACATACCGAATACCATAGCTTTGGCTCTGTAGTTTCACATAGTAACACATCTTTGTAGACACCAGGGCAAAGCCAATTTTAACCCGAGATGGATAATTTTCATGTTTATACCTCTTTTAAAGAGGATCATAAGTTAATGCTACATGCAAAATATCTAAGACATTGTGGTTTCTGGAGGAGAAGGTTTCATAAAGATTTTAAAAGAATATAATTAGCTCCTGTGACTTACTTATATACTCAGACTGGAACCATTTACATACTATATATGTGTATATACACTTTTCTTTGAAGTTTGGTCAAAATCCAAAATGTTGGTTAGGAGGGCAATTAAATCTTTTAAAATTGCCGTAATAAAAGCTCATCTTTAAACACTTTGTGCCTTAAAGACGTCATTATGACACTTCTGTACTTCCATAGTTGCAAGAAATAGTTTCTGGCCCTACAATTTATATACGACCTTAGTATTGATTAACGACACAATTTTCTAAACAGTTAATGTATACCTACCAATCATGCCGTCCTCGAAATCATCCCCACTTATATCACTGAAAAAAACTCGCTATCCCACTCTCTATTGTTCCATATGACGTCATAACGTCATTGCAAAAACGTGCTTTCAAAGCTTGATAGTGGGTATTTTGTACCCTTTCACCGCTTAAGAAATTGCTATTCACTTTGTTGAACTTGTTTGAGATTTCTGGTTTATTCAGCATATCAACGACCATATATATAGGTAGATAAACAACGTCACAGCATTCTCGTTCTATGACATCAGCAAGGAAATCGCTATGTTGCTCAGCAATACTCAATTTTGTGTCAACAAAAATACGTGTGGCGCCCTCTGTAATGTACGTGCGAGGAAATCCTACCACCCAGCTTAATGTACGATCACAGAAAAATACACTTTTCTCAGAGATGTTCAAATATTTATCAATTGTTTTCGTCCAGTTCATTATCCCAAAATGTGTGTAAACAATTATTTTTGGCTTACCGGTTGAGCCGGAAGTACAAAAATAAGCTAACGTGTCCTCGGGGTGAATAATTGCCAGTTTTACAAGATTGTCATAACTTTTCTGTTGAAACTAAGAAAGTCTCTTTCTTGTTTCGGTTTCTCTTTCTACCTTTCCATTACAAATCACCATTTCAAGACATGGCGTGACCTCTGACCGACTCTGACCTTCAGGCCAAATATTTTCAAGGACTTTCCAATTTTCATCCCCTGTATTAGTATCTATTATAAGGAACTTCGCCTCGAGGTTGTTGATAAACTCTGCCAAATCACTTCCGTCCTTGAGATTAGCTGATACATAAAATGGAACGCCTCCCGCCATAATCACGCCTAAGTTTGATGTCAACATTTCTAAAGAATTAGTCATGCATATCGCAACTGTTGACCCTTTTTCGACACCATACTTTACAAAGTTTTCTGCAGCAATGGTAGCTTGATCTAATAGTTGTTTTCTTGTAAGACTTTTTCTTTGTTTACTAAATTCGTAGAAAACAAACGCTTCTCTGTCTTGATCTGCAGCCGCTAGGTGGCGTAGTCTATCAGGTATCGTCTCGTAAATGAAAGGAGTGGTTGAAAGACAACAAGAGTAGCTAAATCTTTGATTTTCCTCCATTGTAGAACCGCTGTTGAAAAAAATGAAACAAATTTGTTAGAAAAACTTAGTCATCAATAAGTGTAACTGAATTGAACGTTTTAGACATCGAGTAGGCCTAAGTTCGATATAAAACTTTGGCGAAAATATTTCCTTGTGCGAACCGGGGACTGGTGTAATGGACCGATAAGTACGCACAACATAGTAAGATAATAAGATACAAGTACAAATGTTGCTGCAATGCAGCAATTGAGAAGCTCCGCGCAAAAAATGCGCTCATTACAGATACCTTACCAAATTATTCCTATATACGCACAGGTCATGTTATATTCAGATTAAGTACTATTGTAGATTTTTTCCGAATGTTTTGTAAACCATTTTTTGCATAATTATACTTATCTTATGCACTGTCCATAATTAAAAAGAGGGGAAAGATATTTAATATAAAAATGCTTTCACTGATGCCTACCTGGTAAGGAAAGTAATTCCATTGAATACAAACAAGACTTACAAGACTTGTAAATGTTATGTGACATGACTGTACTGTGTTCTGTTTGTGTCACAACTGAAGTCAGTAACATAAGATGATAAAAATATCAAAGTCTGTTTTTTGTATTTTCTGATCGTAAGGTCAGTAAATACATAGCTAACATCCACGGTCTAACACAAAATTTCCTTACAGTCCTAACAACGCAAAGTAGTTCTCACTCAAAACTGCTTAAAAACCAGCAATTTAAAAGAAAGAATAATTTTTAATGTAGGCATTTAACAAATTACAGTGCATTAAAAGTTTAGATTAGTCAATAGAAATATGAGGTTACAATCACAAATTTCGCGGATGAATATCTTTTTTACCCAATGAAAAATGTTCGGCTATTTCCGTAAAGCTTCGGATTATCATGAATATCATTTTAATCAATGAAAATGCTATTTTTAGCTATGTCGATTAATGAATACTCCAGAGCGTAGTACACAAATAAATCTGACTGTCGAGTAGTGGAATACACAGACACTTGGGGTTTGGAGCTCAAAACGCCTTTAAAATCCAAATAAAATGCATTTTGTCAATCCCAGCACATGTACTGATCATATATATCAAAAAAACTTAATATAAGCCGTTTTGAAAAAAAATCATATTTCAACATCTATAATTATTATAGATGTTGAAATATGATTTTTTTTTCAAAACGGCTTATATTAAGTTTTTTGATATATATGATCAGTACATGTGCTGGGATTGACAAATTTGCATTTTATTTGGATTTTAAAGGCGTTTTGAGCTCCAAACCCCAAGTGTCTGTGGTGGAATATATACATGTCGGACTGTTTTGGCGAGAAGATTTTCGCTAAATTATTTTCATCAGTGTTAAACAACAGGTTTATCGTGAACAAAATACCTCGAAATTAATAAGGATTGCAAACACGAAATGGAAATTCTCAATTTAGAATTACATAAAGTATTCGTTTTTATTCAAGGTACATATGTATTACTTCGCCGTGGTGCAGAGGTAAGCGGTCTCGTTGAGGGTGTGAGAGGCATATGGTTCAAATCCTAGTCGAGGCAATTCTATTTCTTTTTCATGCAAAATTCCATATGTATCAATCTCAAACTGTTATAGAAGAAAATCAAAACGCTGTCGCTGCGTAAGATGAATTATAGTATATAAAAATAAACTTATACAGGAAAGTACATACAGATAGTCAGTATGATTTAGATTGCAAAGATCAGAAAATACCATAGAGCTGCAGCCCTTTTATTTATTATTATAATTGTAACAACTATACAAATAGTAACAAAAGGGATTAATATTGTAATACAGTAATATTTCACGTCAAATTAAAAAAATGGTTTCTTTCAATACTGAAAGTAGAACACACTCTGGGATGAATTTCAAAAAGACCAAATTCAGGATTTTTTTGTTTGTTATACACGCGTTACATGGTGATACAGTATTCATCAATATAATAGAAGACTGTTACCTTAATTTTAGGCAGGTATGAGGAAATTCGCTAACATCATGTTCGTGCGAGTCAAAGATATATAAGCTATTTGACATTGGTGATATATAAAAAAACTAATGTTAATTGATTTATTGGGAGATCAATATACTTTTTTGTTGAATTGTTTTAAAACCATTCATAAAAACATTACACTTCATGTTCAAACTGCAGATCAAAGTTTCTGTTATCAATGATGCTATCTATCTATAGCCTATGCTTAATGAGGGGCCATCCGCTCGTAAGGTCACAAAATGCAGCTTTCGCTGTCGAGTACGGACCCCGGACATGTTACCAGTCATACCCTTAAAGAGCACACAGCGGTAAGCAATGCCGACGCCTTATATACTAAAGTTTAATTATTTTCAAAACAACCAATATATCAACATGATATTATTAAACATTTAATTTCATAAACATAAATTAAGAATAATTATCAAAAGCAAAATTATTAAGGTCTTATGCCTGAAATCTTCATTATATTGACAAACTCAATCACTAATAGTATACTTGATATGCTGTGTGTAAATGTAATTCAAAATGTAACAAATTATAATTTCATGTACAGCTAAAAAAGGGAAATAACAAATTTATAATATATAAGTGTCAAAAATCAGAACATTTATAGCTATTTATAGCATTCGAATTCATGTACAGCAGAACTGCTTTCCGGTTCTCATTCATTAATATGACATGCTGCGAATCACCGAAGGGGAAACCAATATAGAAATCGAAAGGAGTTCTTGAATGCGGATTTATTTTCAGCTGTAAATCGAAGGGATTAAGTGATCAAATCCGGGCTCATGGACAAAAAAAAATAGTAAACACAAACAGCTCCGCGCAATAATGCTGTATCACGGACTTAAATATTGTGATTTTTGTTTCTCAGACTCGGCACCCAACGTGAAAATTTGATTTAGATTATGATAACCAATTTTAGGATGAAAGCACTGTTAAAACCTTGTAAGTCAATAGTCTTGTGAATCTCATCTTGGAAAATGGTCATGTCAAACCTTTCCGATACAAAAGCCATGCGACACCTCTCTATGGCTAGATAGCGAGGCGAAACCGTTGCTACAATAGATGTATGCAGAACTCTTTTAGGACAATGGACATGCTTATGTGGCAATAGCCATGCTACACTATTTTAGAGCGCCCTTCTGTGACAATATCTATGCTTATAATTCTGAGACAATAGACACAGAGACATCATTTTAGGACAATCGCCATGGGAATGCCACCTGGGACAATAGACATGCACAACTTTTCTTGAACAAGAGCTTTGTAAAACCTTTCTGGGGCAATAGCAATGATTTTTTTGCAATGGACATGCGAAGCACTTCCTTCTGAGAAACAATAGCCATGCGTATCATTTTCGGGAAAAACAATTCAATGCGTTGTAAGGTGCCTGATTTGTGTCATATAGTAATTTGTCCCCGCATGGCGCCATACGAAAACAAACAAAAAAACGACAATGTCATTACTCTTTCGTATGGTGGCTGATTTGTGCCATTCGTGTTTTCGCCCCGCGACCCCGCCAAGCGAAATAGTTAAAATGGCGGGGGCGCGGGGCGAAAACAAGCTAATTTGCGAGGGCGCGGGGCGAAGTTTAATAAATAAAAAAGCGGGGGCGCTAATAAGCGTGTTTTCGCTCCGCGACCCCGCCGTTTTATTTTTTAAATCTCGTCGCGGGACGAAAACACTCTAATAAGCGGGGGCGCGCGGCGAAATTTTATTTAATAAACTTCGCCCTGCGTCCTCGCTAATAAGCGTGTTTTCGTTCCGCGACCCCGCCGTTTTAACTTGTTAATTCTCGACTTTTCGCTTGGCGGGGTCGCAGGGCGAAAACAAGAATGGCACATATCAGCCACCATACTTTCGTATCCTTACGTCCCGTAGAGCGGAAGTACGACACAGTCATCACTTTGACGTGTTTTCGTGTTATTTCCTGGTGCCCCGCGAAGCACAATCAGCCCCGGTTTTGCAGGGGCCATCCAGATGATTGGGTCACGATTACAACTGACTAGTACGGAATGCCGTTAGGGCTATCGCCTATGAATGGTTTGATCTGAAATGCGATACTCGAAAGTACGATAATGAAAACGCGAAATCACGAAAGTACGATGGTGGGTGAAAACGCGACAGTACGATGATGAAAACACGACAGTACGATAACGAAAACGCGATAATACGACAGTACGATGATGATAATACAATAAACTATCGTAAAGGTAATAATAAGTATTGTAATATGATACAAGATGTATTCTTGCTAGGAGCTGATATTGCTGATATCGAATTCAGGCACGTTATCTTACATTTTAAAACGTGTTTACAGATCGCAACAACTCGGCTTCCTTCGACAACTCCGTCGTTCTGATTGAGTGTATACTCGTCTTGGTCATTTTAAAAAACGATAAACTTGGTTGCATTGATGCCTCTCAACCTTTTATGCAAATCTTCTTCTTGCATTTAAGTATAAGAATGCACGGTTTATCGTTCTCAGGCCTATATATTGGTCTTCGTGATTATATTCCTATGCGTTTGAACTCGAACCGTGAATTATTCTACAACAATGCACTAAAAATTGAGAACTATTTCCTAAGCGTTCCTAAGCGTTACACATGAGAAACTATGATTTTTTTTTTATAAACACAGTTGTTACTTTATGTATGTGGTAGTATGTGGTAAAGAGAATATTATATATAATCATGTAGTTTCATTACTAAATTTGTTGAACTCCTTCAATGAAATATTTAAATGCTCGTCGGAGGCTAGCATAACATGATTTTAATCACTCATTCAATAGATTTAGTATTGAACCTTCAATATCATTTATTTATGAAACAAATTACATACATAATACAATGTAAATTTTCTAATTGTCAGAGCTTGTCCGGTTTAATTGTATCTAATAATAAGGCAAATACAAAGGCAAGAAATTATGGAAAATATGACATTAAATAATTGTTTTTTATCTTTAAAACATGCCGAACTTCATTAATTCAGTCAAATAATCACTAAATCTACCCTTCTCTTTCATGTTTATACAAAAAGAATAATTTTTCAAACAATTCATTTTATTTTACTTTAAAACAAAAGCCATTTCATGTATTCGTTTTCCAGCAAAACAAATATTAAATGAAAGTTGCTATGAACCCTTTTTATATATTTTGAACTTGAATTATATGCATTACCAATTGTCGAAATTTGCTTGCGTTGCTCTCTGTTAGAATATACTGGACCCGCACCTGATGTCATTAATGCAGCTTTATAGCCTAATTATATATTCTGCAGCTGTAATGTAATACTAAGAGGATATTTTTTCGTTTGAGTGAGATTTTTCAAACAAAATGGCGAAAGAAGTCCCTTAAAATAAATATGAGTTTTCACTCCGCCCACTATCATATTTTTATTTCATATTTATTTTTAAAAAATATGAAATATATTTGAGTAATATTGCACCATATTTCATGTGTAAAATTAAATAAATCGTGATAACGCAAAAGTAATGAAGATACAATACTATACTCAACCAAAAAAGAAGCCTGACAATATGCTATTTATTAAATATCTGAACATATGATCGGGATAGAGTCAAACCAAAAATGGGACATTATACAACAAAGTCTTCCTGAAGAATTTATGCAATGTCATTTTTTCTAGGGCGTGCGTCAAAATGTTAAAAGACGTCCAATGTAAGGTAGGGGTCAAAAGTGATTTTGTCATTTTAAAACTTTTGCCATTAGGTTGCTTTTCAGTGGTGACAACTTAAAATTTCTTGCGAGTTTGTCTGAAAATCGAAGTTCTAATGCACCCTAGTATCTGTTATGACCACCTCTGGCTCTAATGATTGCTTCAATACGTCTTCTTATTTTTTACGTATTTGTGAGTTATTTTCACATTTTGGCATACACGGTGAAATTTATCTCCCTAGTCCGTGCGACAGGTCACAGATATATAAAGTGCATATACATGTACGTATATATACATGTATAACAAAAGTACATGAATTAGGATATTTGGGATATATATATATAAGTACATTCGTACTCTTATCATATCATATACCAGTTTGATGTCACGTTGTCGTAAAAGTCTCAAAAGTTCAAAAACTAAATCAGGACAGGAGAAACCCATCACATAAAATTGAAACAGATTCACAAAGCTGCACACCATTAAAAAAGTGTGAAAAATTCTAACTATATAAAATAAATCTATGAAATCTTAGCGTATCGTGGATAGGCTTTGCTTCGTATACCAGAACATAATTTTTGATTCGAGGAAATTACGTAGAACCAAAAAAAAAACCGAAAAAATGATGGACCGTAATTTTAATTTTTGCAGACGACAATTTTCCCATTACGTAATGAGTTAATGAACAGAATATTGAATTGTTGCACGAGTCATATTGGGTTTTGATAGTAGAGAGCACTTAATTATCAAAGCATTCTTAATTGTGCCGTTTTTGGATTAAAAAAAAATAGATGCAAGGTTATGAGGTAACGTTACCTGATTAACTAACAGCAACAAATTTTATATAAATTAACATTAATCTGGAATATTGCCGCTTTGTGGTACATTGACGAATCTGTTTCAATTACCTTCTTTTTCTTCATTTATTCAGCGCGTTTTAATTTCGTAGCGTCAAAATGGAAAAAAAATAAAGTTCAATATTTTAAAAAATAAAGATCGCGATATTGAAATAAGACGTGGAATGGTCTAAGTATGTGCTACCGATTCATTTTCGACGGGTTTTTATGTTTGTACTATCCTTAGCTTTCTTTAGGCTGCTGGACTGCTAGGCTGCTAACTTTCGAATCGTCAGAATGAAAAAAATATGTTAAGATAAAGTTCTACATCTGAAAAAATAAAGATAACGATGTTGAACAAAAGGCGTGGAATGATATAAGGAAGTGCTACTAATGTATTTCCGACCATTTTCATGTTTGTACTATTCTTTGTTTTCTTTAGGCTGCTAGGCTGCCAGGTTGCTAGGCTGCAAGGTTGCTAGGCTGCCAACTTCAGGCTGTTACGCTGTCAACTTCAGGCTGTTAGGCTGTTAGGCTGTAAGACTACCAACTTCACGAACATTTCGTTTTAAGGGTGAATCAAATCAAACCATTAAACTTGTACAAAAATGTATGATGTAAAATGGGCAATCACTCATGTATTTACTGTAACAGTACATAGGATGTTTAAGTTTTTTTTCTTCTATAAATACAGGATATATTTTCATTATGAAATTTCATACCACAAGGTGAAAATAAATCATTTTTACAGAAAAAAACGTGAATTTTCAGTTTATTTTATATATCTTTTCTTACAAAGATTTCCCCTCAAACATTGTGTTTTGGCTAAAGTTAGAAAATACGGAAAATATGCTTCAATGCAGTCAATTTAATTCTATTTTTCAAACATTTTCCATTTTCAACTTTAAGCATTATTTATCACTGCTTATTTATCGCATATTACACAAGCGCCAGCCCCTATTTGAATCATATTTTAATGTTATTTTTTTAAAAACGATCGTATATTGAAATTCGAGATATTTCGTATCAATTGTTGTCGTCGGATTTTACAAATACGCAAGGTTGATTGTAGGGCTTACGTAGACTAAATAAATTTAGTTAAACTTAAACATTCTTATGTTGTTTGTTTAGTTCACTTATAATATCATAACGTTATTTAATTTACCGCGGAGTCCAAAAGAGTGTCGTCTGAAGTCCGACAGGTCAAATAAAAGCATAAAAGCGGGAAGACTTAATATTGGGTACCTGGTAAACAAGTCTTGCATAGTCATATTTATTGTAAGTGCTTTATTAACAAGCATTTGTTTGTGATCGTATTCTGTCTGCGTGTGTCGGAAAACATTTGCCAATGGTTGACGGCAAAATAACCAAATAAGAGAACTTAAGGGTTAAAAAACAGAAAAATAAAATTACAGGTAGCCCAGACATATAATCTGATCTTTTCCTAATCAATATTCCTAGTCAATATTTTTTATTTTTTCAATATTTGTATAATTTAATGTTTACATCTAACATGATTTTTTATATTTTTAGAGGAATTTGAAATACATATACATATTTGTACTTGATTTCAAAGTCGGTTTGACAAATAAATAAACTAAATGGCAGATAAATAAATTCATGAGATGTTTAACATGTTCAAAGCTGTTCACAATACAATATCCATTAACAATTATACAAGTTCAAGGGAAGCTGCTCGTCGTTATATTTTGCCTCTCACTAACAGCTGTTCAAATGTATTATTTATTGAAAATTTAGTGCTTAACTGCTGATGACAGCTTGTACGTATTTGTTCTGGACGGTTATTTAAACCAACGATATTGTGACAAAAAATAGAACAGCCATGTATGTCCCATTTTCGATTTCACATAGTAATAACACAAATTTATACGTTTTTATTTTGATGTAGATAAACATATGTGTCTTATTGTAACATCCATTGAACAATGGTTTAAAATTACATGTACATGTGTATTAGTGTTTATAAATAACTTGTATTTCATTTGGAAATATATGAAATAAGCAGCCTATTTTCACTATTATAATTATATAAGCGTACATGTACACATTTTGCATTTGCAAGGATAAATCATGTAAGTAAATATCAGTGTTTATATATGTCTTTAATACTCGAATTCGAGAAGTTGACAGAAATAGATAGATGTGTAGTAATGATATATCGGTTGCAGTTAAATGGATTTATTAACATTAAAAAGTCATTAAAGTTTATCACGTGACTTCACCAAGATTGATCTGTGGACGAATGACCTTTACTGCGTTAGTTCAATTAAATGTGAAGATTGCAGTTATCACAAGGTTAACATGGGTTTATCAGTTTATACCGGTGTTTATGTTATGATAAAGTACTGTCTACTGTATAAATGTACATGTTGATATATTGTAAAATTCAACATGTATTCCGATTATCACGAAATTGCAACTACTCTGGTGTGACGTGGGTTTTATTGCTCGGATATTAATTGTTATATATTAATTTTTATCAAAATATGTGATATTTCTTAAATACAAAATGTGAAGGTGCAAAAGTATTTTAGATCGTAACAATAAGTTTAGATGTACATATAATATAGATCGACACTGCAGGAGAGTCGTTTTTCATTTGTGATACAAGAATTCAAAATCAACTTGAAAATATGGTGGCTACTGCTAAACTAGCTTCAACTTTCATTTTGTTTGGACTTTCTGTACTAAGTGGAGTTATTTCCTGCATTACGGTAAAATGCTTGGTGCTGAAACTTGGAACTTCAACAAAATTCACTGGTGCAATCAGTCTTCTGAATTGCTTTTCCGGTGGCGTTTTCTTCGCTACTTCCGTTTTAAGTTTACTTCCGGAAGCGCGCGAAAGCATGGAACATGCATTGGAGGGTTTTGAGTATAGTTCAGAGTATCCTTTCACCGAACTGGCAATGTGTATTGGATTTTTCATGATTCTAATGCTTGAGCATATTGCTCACAAGTGTTGCTCTTCTAATACGACAACTCGCCCAATTCGTCCAGAAAATGACCCCAGATCAAAAGAACGAAATTCCATGTCAGAATCAGCCCGTGCAGATATGACAGTAGGTTACAGGAGAGTGAGCGGGAAAAGATACAATGGACTAAATACAAAAGACCCTATACAAGTAGCAAGTGATTTAGAAGATTCTTCGTACCATGACGACATGACGTATCAAACGTATGGCGCGGTGGACGAATCGGTCGACAGCCCGTCAAATAGACCTTATTCAGAAGTTAGAAATGATTCTGCAAATTCTAAAATGAGAGAAGTTGTATTCCAAGACAGTGATAGAATTCTAATAAGAAATGCAAAAGTTCCAAAAGAAGTTAAAATCAAATCAACAAATGAAGCTCTTACAGAAGTTAGAGATTCCGCAGACGATAATCGTGATCCTACAAGGTCAAGGTTACGAGGTCTTGTGCTATTAATAGCATTATCTTTACACATGATTTTTGACGGTCTCGCGCTTGGGCTTCTAAAAGATGATTCTAAAGTTTACGAGCTTCTAGCAGCCCTGTGTTTACACAAAGTTCTTGTATTCTTCACAATCGGGGTTCAAACTTTAGAGCTACTTGCCTCCGTCAAGAAAACCATTTGTGTCATTGTAGTTTTCGCTTTAATGAGTCCATGTGGTGTTATTATAGGTGAAAGTATTAATCTTTCTGGCGAATCAGAAGCAAAAGATTTATCGTCTGCCATATTGCAGGGCTTTGCAACCGGTACTTTTCTTTTTGTCACGTTCTTCGAGATTTTACAACGTGAGTTGGGATCCGGTGACCATGACATTTTTAAAGTATTCACGACTATTTTCGGATTTGCGCTTATTGCTTGTACACGGTTGCTTGAACACGAAGAATAATACAAATTAACTTGTAGAAAGTTTAAATGAACCAGTCAGCTTATTTCGTTTTAGTCAATAAATACATCAATATGATAATGTCTCATTAATATATGTAAAATTTGCATGTTCATTAGTGTGCATAATGCCTTATATAGTTACTTTAAAATTGTGAAAAAGGAAGCGCGATATTAACATTTTTATATAGTACAATTTACTACTCAGTTTTTTCCTTAATTTGATGAAAACAAAACTGTCCAATTGCGATATTTCAACAAAACATTTTGTTCGTCTATAGTAACTTGGAATGTTTTAGGATAAGAGTTGACTTTCCGGATTTCCAAACGAAGCTTTGAACGTTTGTTGAAATATATTGTTGTGTAACACTGATCAAAGAAATCTCCAAATGTGAGAATGGCATATCTTCCAGTTGTAAAGCTGGGATTTTTGGATTTTTTCTAATTCTGATGGGGCCTTCATTTTCAGTTACAGCGGGTTGAGGGTAACAGAACATACGTGACTATTTTTGTATTTAGTGCACGTGTTTATAGTGTAACATGAAGACATTATTTTTATAAAATATATTTTGTTAAAACAGTTACAATGTAACTACATGTTTACATATTTTTTTTAATATATATTCATCATACATTTTGCAATTCTTCTTGTATAATGTGTAAAATACATGTAATAAAATTGAAAAAAATGCTTTATGTCGCGGTTAAACCACAATATTATGTCGTATAAACTAACATTCATTAATTATTGTTTCCTTTCTTTGACAAAAAAAAATAAAAAAATAAATATAAATTCGCTTGTGTATTAAAATAATTTATTTTTCGAGTACAGTTTCTTGATTTGCCAGAACTTGTTTGTACATGTTTGTAAAACATTGGTTTGTAGAAGTTTATGCTCAGTCCTACGAAAGACCGGTAGGGCCATTTCACATTTCAACTTCACGAATTCCCGATTTCATCTTCATGAAATCACGATTTCAACTTTATGAATTTACGATTTCAACTTTCAACTTCATGAATTCAACTTCGTGAATTCACTATTTCAACTTCAAGAATTCACGATTCCAACTTCAAGAAGTCACGATTTCAACTTTCAACTTCATGAAATCAACTTCGTGAATTCACTATTTCAACTTAAAGAATTCACGATTTCAACTTCATGAAGTACGAATCGTGGGTTTGTGAAGTTGAAATCGGGATTCATGAAGATAAAACCGGAAATTCATGAAGTTGAAATGTCCCAACCGGTCTTTCGTACAATACATGTTGACTGTTTCGTTTTAATGTATTCTAATCATGAGCTTGGTCGAAGTGTTTATATAATGGGGACATGGGACATATTCGAACTTTAGCACCAGTAGAATTTATTAATAATACATGAATACATATTATGTCGAAATTATTTGATAGTTTTGTCAATATATTTCGTTATTTTTTGACAGTAGAATAATAGCAAGTTTCTGAATGTTAACATGTTTATACGAAACCTACATTAAGGTGGCTTTGTGACTGTCCAAAGGGAGATTTGAAAATAAAATTGAAAAACAAAGATTTGAAAACCGTCACAAAAATAGAAAAGAATTTTGAATAAATTTACCGAGAAATCCGTTTCATAGTTAATGATTGCACTGTGTGAAATTGCACGTGTGAGAGGAGTTGCCCGGATTATCAACTGCTTTACATTTTCATTAAATGACCCTGGATGTGATTTCGGGTGTATAGAGCCAAATATAGATAACATAGAAACAAGCAATTAACATATACTCAACCAAAGAAGAAACCTGACATTTTTAATGGTGCAATATCTTTTTCAGTCGTCCGTTCACACTTTTTCGTTAACACTCCAGCCGTTGTATTTTTGCCTCAATCCTCATCAAACTTTGTCAGGATGCTTATCTAGGTAATAGCTCAAATGAGTTCGAACATGGATCATCTAGAATGAAAAACTAGGTCACATGAGCTAAAAATAGAAAAATCGTGTTAACACTCTAGTGGCTACTGTTATGATCCAAATATCCTGGAAATTGGTCTGAAATTTTGTTTTGATGATTTTTAGGTCAAGTTCGAATATGTGTCACCTGGTTTCAAAAACTAGGTCACACCGCCCAAAAATGGGAAAACCTTGTTAACACTCTAGTGGTAAAATTTTTGACTCAATTATCATCAAACTTGGTCAGGATGCTTGTCTAGATAATTGCTCGGATGAGTTTGAACATGGGTCATCTTGGATGAAAAACTAGGTCACAGGAACTAAAAATAGAAAAATCTTGTTAACACTCTAGTGGCTACTGTTTTAATCCAAATATCCTGGAAATTGGTCTGAAAGTTTGTTTTGATGATTTCTAGGTCAAGTTCGAATATGGGTCACCTGGGGTCAAAATCTAGGTCACACTGCTCAAATATGGATAATCCTTGTTAACACTAGTGGTCACATTTTTGACTCACCTGTCATGAAACTTGGTCTGAGAATGCTTGTCTAGGTAATTGTTCGGATGAGTTCGATGGGTCAGGTGAGCGATCTAGGGCCATCTTGGCCCTCTGGTTAACATTGGCATCTAATAAAAACACATTTATCTCATATCCGTAGATTTTCGATACACAATATGTGTGTAAACTCTAGCAAACTTGATATTTACCGAAACTGGGTAGTCTTCAAATAGCCGCTATCGCACGTGACGCCGTGCTTAATGAATAGAACGCAAAAGTATGTGAGCAAAAGCTCTATAAATTCACCAAGTGATTACCCAGTATAAATTACCATTGACATTTGATGGTTACAAAATGCCACGTTTATCAGAGGCCGAAAGCTGACGTATCTGCCGTTGACGTTAGCAGGACATTTAACTGCAGTCGCAACACAGTACATGAGCTTGTCAGGCGCTTAAGGCTAACAGGTGATGTGCATGATCGTCCTAGGTCAGGTAGACCAAGAGCAACTGGCCAAAGGGACGATCGGTACATCGGTTTTGACGCACTTACGTCACAGATTCCAACCTTCGACTTTGGCGGCAATGTGTGCTCACAAACAATTAGAAATCGGCTACGTGAACAAATCGCCGGATTAGAGCGCGGCGCCAATACACAGGTAGTATTTTGACATTACGTCATCGGCAGGCACGTTTACGCTGGGCGTGTTTACATCGTCGTTGGCGTAGACGAGACTGGAACAGAGTCTTGTTTTCAGATGAATCCAAATTCGACTTGACCAACGCTGACGGTCGCCAACGTAGACAGGGTGTAGGATTTACTCCTGTTTGTGTCAGAGAGCATAATAGTTTCGGGTGCGGGGGAGTTATGGCTTGGGGTGGTATTATTGGGGGGCAAAAGACTAGACTCTTAGTCATTCGAGGCAACTTAAATGCCCAAAGGTATATAAATGAAGTTTTGAATGCAGAAGCCATTCCTTTCATGCAAAGGAATGCTCCAGTCGTATTTCAGCAGTACAATGGACGCCTGCATGTTGCAAGAATAACGCAAGCTCGCCTTGCAGCGATTTACGTAAACGTCATGCATTAGCCGGCAAATTCTCCGGACATGAATCCTGTGGAGCACATTTGGGACGAACTGGAGAGACGTGTCGACCGTCGTCGTCATGCACCTCGCACTGTAAACGAGCTAGCAATTGCCCTTGTCAGGGAGTGGAACAACCTCCCTAATCAACCGGTACGCGCTTCGTGCAAAATATATTTCAAAAGTGCTTAAGAATTTATGTTACAGAGATGATTCCGTTTATTTCAGATACATGTACATGTAATAATTTAATCTCACAAAGTCGGGACTGGGTATTTCTGATATGTTCAAGAGGGCAACTGGAAAAAAATCTCCATTTCCAAGTAAAATATATTCAATATTCACTCAAAATATATATATATATAACATGTTTTTAAATTAAGTATAAGTCGCCAATTGTATATAATAACATTACCATAACATCACAAAAATGTGAGAGCTTTGTAACATCTTAGAAGGAAAGTAAAACTCTCACTAAGTTATAACAGTGTGATATGACTTTTATCTCACTGATACAAAACACAGGAAAACGTACAAAAACAAGCCAGGACGTACAGGATAGCCTAGTTAGGTCTTGTTTTATGGATTTTATTTCCTGGGTGCCATTTTTGAGAGAAGTAACCTTTGGTGTTATTAAAAAACGCACACAATTTTATGAGACGAGTTACATGCTGACTTGAATATGGCGGTGATGTTGGTAGTTTGACCTCCAGATCACGGCAGAAACCCATATTGAATTCATCAGAGCACAGTTCAGCCACCGCATTGTTTCTGAGCAGGCTGTCAATTGGTTTACCAGTACTAGCTGCCTTCAGTACTAGTACTTCGTGCGGCGCGATGTCGCGATGTCACCCTGTCGCTTCGCTTATAAATCATTTCTTCGATTTGATTCGAGCGATAATGTGACATCGCGACAACACGCTGCACGACCACGCGCCGTTTGGCTAGCATCGTTAGACAGGGCGACAAGATGAAAGTCCGACAACGCTAGCGACAACACGACACACAAAAGCGTTCAAAATCAGCCACCATACCTTTCTGTAGAAAATATGTAGAGTTAAATCATATACATACACAGTGCGTTAACTGGAGTGCAGATATTACTTACCCACACTGCAGAGCATGCCCATTAAAAGGCTCATTTTTTTCTGGGGTTTACTTATTGTGACGACAAAGAAAGGGATAGCGATAGAAATATCATAAAATTATTCAGATACTCGTTCATTTGTTACTTTTTTATGGGATTTCATATTGTGAAAACAGGGAACGTGAAGTTTGGCAACGTTCTGGGATTCCTTATGTCGTAAACATATCTCTCTGAAAGTACAAAGCCTATAGCTAAGATATTTGGCATGTAGAATCACCTTGTGGTCCTCAACAAAAGTAGAGCTAGAGTAGTATTAATCATGTCCCTTAGGTCACTTTTGTATATAGGCTTGTATAGGAAAATTAATTCATTTTTCCACTAAAACTGCAATGCTTAATTGTTGGAGCTTCACACTATCATATCATACCATAGTCCTTGAATTGCTGAAAAGTCGCCTTTTCACCCAACGAAATAAACTACCGCTTTATATACGATAATGAATAAAAATTGTAAGAATCGGCGAAAAAAACTATATTATTATATTATTCTACTTTTGATCATGATTTCTGCAAGCGTTATTAAGACTCACTGTTGTGAGTTTAATCCCCTTTGATTGTATGTTCATCTGCCCGCGATAATTGGAATTTGTGATAACTCAAAATGTACTGAAAACATTTTCTTACAACTGTAAATGTGGATAGATGGCAGATTGAAGATTATTTTTTTGTTTTCTGAGAATAAAATTTGGTTGTTATTGTAACAAATGACTTGAAATATTGCAAAAATTCCAATATTTAATTTGAAATGATAAAATGCATGATGTTATATTAGTGCATTAGTCCCTTTTGATACTGTTTGTATATTCGTTACAATTATGGTAGTTTAGCGCGGAGGAAGGTAGTATAGTACTGGTGTAACTCTCCAGGAAAGATGGTTAGGAACCTACCCGCCTATAAGACTGAAATACTGTTGGGAAAAGGCGTAAAATGAAACAAACAAACAAACAATTATAATAATAAATCAAACTTATTTTGTTCATTTTGAATACTGTTTTGAATGTTCCAAAAAAATTCATTTAATATTCTTAGCTCTTGCAAGCCTTCCAAAGTTCATGATGGACACTGTCGTTTGTCCGCACATTCATCTATGACATACATGTGTACAATTCTGGTAAAATCCAATTAACCATTGAAAAGTTGTTAAGAATATCTGGTCATCAGATGTCTACAAGTTCATCGTATTTGCTGCATTTCTTGCTTGGACGCCCTTTGATGCTTTGTTGTTATAACATGATATACAGTTTGCCGCGAAACATGTAACGGACACTTTGAACAATAAAGTCGATGAAAGTTTTGTTTTGGCTTATTTACATATGGATTTTTATATTTCTTGCCATGAGTAGTTGTTGATATTTGTAGAAAATGAGTAGCATTATAGGTGAAAAAGAAAATGTACATGCTTTGATATTGTTTATTTCATGTAATATTTTTTTACTGTAGTGACACAAAAAGGAAAATGTTGTACTACTGTCATGTAACATTACATTTACAAATCTTGTAAGTCGTATTTGTATTGGAATTACTTTCCTTACACGATAGGCATCAGTGAAAGCATTTTTAATTTAATATCTGGCCCCTCTCTCATGAACAGTGCATTCGATAAGTGTAATTATGCAAATTTAAATGAATTACAAAACATCCAGAATAATGTACATTAGTTCTTAATCTAAACAGAAAATGACATGTGCGCAGGAATGATTTGGTAAGGTATCTGTAATGAGCGCATTTCTTTCGCGCGGAGCTTCTCAATTGCTGCATTGCAGCAACATTTGTACCTGTTATTACTTGCAATACTTTGTTGATTGCTTGTTTCTATCATAAAATTTGAATGTGATTTATATTTGGCCTAATACACCCGAAATCACATCAAAAATAAAAAAAAAAAACAGTCAGGGTAATTTCATGAAAATGTACAGCAGTTGATATTCCGGGAAACTTCCTTTCTATTTTTGTGACAGTTGTCAATTCTTTGATTTTCAATTTGACATTGTATTTTCAAATCTCCCTTTGGAACGTCACAAAAACATGCAAAGCCACCTTACTTTAAGTTGCGCATCAACATGTTATCATTCAGAAATATTGCTCTAACATTACTGTCAAACAACAAAGAAATGTATTCGACAAAACTATCAAATAATTTCGACATTATGTATATACATGTATTATTAATAAATTCCACTGGTGCTAAAGTTCGAATATGTCCCATGTCCCCATTATATAAACACGTCGACCAAGCTCGTGATTAGAATAAATTAAAACCAACCAGTCAGCAGGATTGACCACAAACTACTACATATACATACGAGTACAAGTGCTGACAAATCAAGAAAAAAATAAAATATTTACACAATGAAGTGGAAATAAATGTTTTTGTTTTATTATTTTTTTTCATTGTAAAATAATAAAACAATGAGAAATGAATGTTTATTTGTACCGACATAATCTTGTAGCTTTAAAGCGACAAAGATTTTCAATTTTATTACATGTACAGTATCTTACACATTATACAAGAAGAATTACAAAATGTATGACGAATATATATGAAAAATTAGGCAAAGTTACATTTTAACTGTTTTAACAAAATATATTTGAGCTGCGCCATGACAAAACCAACATAATGGGTTTGCGAGCAGCATGGATCCAGACCAGCCGGCGCATCCGCGCAGTCTGATCAGGAGCCATGCTGCTCGCTTACAAAACCTATAACAAGTAGAGAAGTGGTAGCGAACAGCATGGATCCTGATCAGACTGCGCGGATGCGCAGGCTGGTCTCGATCCATGCTGGATGCAAACGCATTACGTTCGTTTTGTCGTGACGCGGCTCATTTTATAAAAATAAGGTATTTATGTAACACTAGCACTTTATACAAAAATAGTCACGTATGTTCTGTTACCCTCAACCAGCTGTAACTGAAAATGAAGGCCCCATCAGAATTTGAAAAATTCCAAAATGCTAGCTTCACAAATGAGAGAGAAATGTCATTCTCACAATCGGAGGTTTCTTTGAGCACTGATAAATAAATATATTACAACAAAAATTCAAAGCTTCCTCTTTTACAATTTTAAAGTAACTATATAAGGTTTTGATTAACAAAATATGCACACTAGCATACATACAAATTACATACATATATTAAGGATACATTATTATTTTTGCTCTGAAATTGGACTAAAACAAAATAAGCTAACTGGTTCATTTAAACTTTCTACAAATTAATTCGTATTATTCTTCGTGTTCAAGCAACCGTGTACAAGCAATAAGCGCAAATCCGAAAATAGTCGTGAACACTTTAAAAATGTCATGGTCACCGGATCCCAACTCACGTTGCAAAATCTCGAAGAACGTGACAAAAAGGAAAGTACCGGTTGCAATACCCTGCAATATGGCAGACGATAAATCTTTTGCATCTGATTCTCCAGAAAGATTAATACTTTCACCTACTATAACACCACATGGACTCATTAAAGCGAAAACTACAATGACACAAATGGTTTTCTTGACGGAGGCAAGTAGCTCTAAAGTTTGAATCCCGATTGTGAAGAATACAAGAACTTTGTGTAAACACAGGGCTGCTAGAAGCTCGTAAACTTTTGAATCATCTTTTAGAAGCCCAAGCGCGAGACCGTCAAAAATCATGTGTAAAGATAATGCTATTAATAGCACAAGACCTCGTAACCTTGACCTTGTAGGATCACGATTATCGTCTGCGGAATCTCTGACTTCTGTAAGGGCTTCATTTGTTGATTTGATTTTAACTTCTTTTGCAACTTTTGCATTTCTCATTAGAATTCTATCACTGTCTTGGAACACAATTTCTTTGGTTTTAGAATTTGAAGAGTCATTTCTAACTTCTGAATAAGGTCTTTTTGTCGGGCTGTCGACCGATTCGCCCACCGCGCCATACGTTTGATATGTCATGCCGTCATGGTACGAAGAATCTTCTAAATCACTTGCTACTTGTATAGGGTCTTTTGTGTACACCCCTTTATATCTTTTCCCGCTCACTATCTTGTAACTTACTGCCACATCTGCACCGGCTGATTCTGACATGGAATTTCGTTCTTTTGATCTGGGGTCATTTTCTGGACGAATTGGGCGAGTTGTCGTATTAGAAGAGCAACACTTGTGAGCAATATGCTCAAGCATTAGAATCATGAAAAATCCAATACACATTGCCAGTTCGGTGAAAGGATACTCTGAACTAAACTCAAGACCTTCCAATGCATGTTCCATGCTTTCGCGCGCTTCCGGAAGTAAACTTAAAACGGAAGTAGCGAAGAAAACGCCACCGGAAAAGCAATTCAGGAGACTCATTGCACCAGTGAATTTTGTTGAAGTTCCAAGTTTCAGCACCAAACATTTTACCGTAATGCAGGAAATAACTCCACTTAGTACAGAAAGACCAAACAAAATGAAAGTTGAAGCTAGTTTAGCAGTAGCCACCATATTTTAAATTCGATTTTGAATTATTGTATCACAAATGATAAACGACTCTCCTGAAGTGTCGATCTATATTATATGTACATCTTAATTATTGCTTCGATCTGAAATACTTTTGCATCTTCACATTTTTTATTTAAGAAATGGATAAAAATTAATATATAACAAATAATATCCGAGCAATTAAACCCGCGTCACACTAGAGCAGTTGCAATTTCGTGATAATCAGAATACATGTTGAATTTTACAATTTATCAACGTGTACATGTGATAAACCCGTGTTAACCTTGTGATAACTGCAATCTTCACATTTAATGGAACTAACGCAGTAAAGGTCATTTGTCCGAGGATCAATCATGGTGAAGTAACGTGAAAATTTTTAATGACTTATTAATGTTAATAAATCCATTTAATTGCAACCGATATATCATTTTATTCTACACATCTATCTCATTCTGTCGAATTCGAGAAGTATACATACATGAAAAATCCATTCAAATACACAATATAAATTCGTTTATAAATACATGTATAATGGTCAACATTTCACGTTATTTTCAAATGACTTTCACATTATTTATAAACAACAATATGAACATGTACATTAAACTATTGTTCAATGGATGTTACAATAAAACACATGTGTTTATCTACATCAAAGTACAAACGAATACTAACGCATTAAATTATTTTATTACGATGCCAAATTGAAAATGGGAAAGGAAATGTACATGATCATTTTAAGGTTGTTCTATTTTTTAACACTACGTGTATACCGTTGCTTTAAATAACCTTTCAGAATGAATACAGTCATAAGCAGTTAAGCACTTAATTTTCAATAGATAATACATTTAATCAGCTGTTAGTGAGAAGATATAATACAGGACGAGCAGCTTCCCTTGAATTACAATTTTTTATCTTGTATAACTGTTTGAATGGCTATTGTATTGTGAACAGCTGTGAATATGTTAAACAAATCATGAATTCATTTATCTGTCATTTAGTTTATATATTTGTCAAACCGAATTTGAAATCAAGTATGTATATCAAATTCATCTCTGGTTTAAGTTAATAAAAAACAATATCAAAAATTATGTTAGATGTAAACATTAAATAACACAAGTATTGAAAAAAAAAAAAAATATTGACTAATAAGTTCGAATTGGTTTGTCTAGGCTACCCGCAATTTTAGTTAACTTTTTTCGACCCCTAAGTTCTCTTATTTGGTTAATTAGCCGAAACTATTATTCATCAGCCATTGGCAAATGTTTTCCGGCACACGCACACAGAATACGATCGCAAACAAATGCTTGTTATTAAAGCGGGTCAATGCAAGACATGTTTACCAGGTACCCAATATTAAGTCTTCCCGCTTTTATGCTTTTATTTGACCTGTCGGACTTCAGACGACACTCTTTTGGACTCCGCGGTAAATTAAATAACGTTATGATATTATAAGTGAACGAAACAAATAGCATAAGAATGTTCAAGTTTTACAAAATTTATTTAGTCTATGTAAGCCCTTAACGATCAACCTTGTGTATTTGAAAAATCCGACGACAATAATACGAAATATTTAGAATTTCAATATACGATCGTGCTTACAAAATTATCATTAAAATATGATTCAGATCGGGGCTGGCGGTTGTGTAATAAAAACTAATAAACAATAAATAAACAGTACTAAGTAATGTTAAACTTTAAAATAGAAAATGTTAAAACGTTGAATTAATTTAACTCTCTTTTAATATAATTCACGCAAATTACTAATGCAAACCTTTTCCGAAACCGAATCTCGACATAAGTTTTATTTCTGATAATAAATATCATGTAAACAATAAAATAATTATAAAATTCTTGTTACAGTTTTCTTAAGTTAATTTTCTCCTTAATAAATAAAATACTGCTTTATTCGATAAATTTGTTTGCGCTCGATCCTTTAGGGTTAGAACAGAACAGAACAATTTTATTAGGACTTGTACAAAGTACATCATCTGCAATACATTATATAAGCATATATTTTAGTTTCATGAAAATTTACAAACAAAATCTGGATATCACATTTTACGTATTCAATAATTTCATGATAAATAAAAAGTAGATAAACAAATAAACAACAGCATATAGCTATGGAAAAAGATGCACATATTCTGTATACTTTTATAAATAAATAAGATTAATGATGAATATTATTAGAATGGAAAAAAATCATTAGGAGAATGAACATTGATTCAATTTCAGACATTATTAAATTGTATACCTAATGGAAAGAGCTTCTTATAAGTAAGAACATAAAGTACCCGTTACCTTGTTCTTCTCTTTTAACCTTAACGACAATATTAGTAAGTAAAGACCATTCCTCGGCTAATAAATCAAGAAAGTGGGTGCAATGAAAATCAAAGCACGGAAGGCGCTGAATTTGTTTGGTCTTAAATGTCAGAAAGGTAAAGGTTGTGAGATTATAATTCAGTTTGATTTTGTGTAGTGCCACCAATGTTTTCCAGTGTTTTAACTGTAGTAAATTTGCTATAAGACTATATTCTATAATTGCAACACTAATATTCAATTCAGTGTTTATTTGACAAAAAAATGAGTTGCCTTAACTGGAATTTGAATTCCAGACCTCTCGATTCCTAAACGAGCGTACAAACCCCTCAGCCACGGTGAAGTTATGTGTTAACTGCCTGAAGAAAACCATATTATCATATTATTCTAAATTAGGGGTTGTAACTCTTATTATTTCGACGCTAAACCTGTTGTTTAACACAGATGTAAATAATCATGGAGCTTACTATAAGCATGTATATCTATAAAGAATAAAACAATCTTCGACCATTTGGGAACAATTTTGCTTGCTGTCATTTGACAATCTTTACGCAGTGATCTCCCTTGAATGTTTCGGCGTTAGTGTACATATAAAGGGCAGTAACCGCTTCAAAAAGGCGCCAACTTCACATATCTTAATAATTAAGCGTTTTTACCATGACTCGTGAAACAATTCAATATTCTTTTCTTAACATAATGGGAAAATTGTCGTCTTCAAAAAAAATTAAAAAAATTACAGTCCATCATTTTCATTTATTTTTTTTTTTGTTTTGGTTCTACTACATTTCCTCGAATCAAATACCAAGCAAAGCCTATCCACGATACCCTAAGATTTCATAGATTCATTTTATAAAATAAGACTTTTTGACACTTTTTAAAGGTGTGCAGCTTTGTGAATCTGTTTTGTTTTGAAACTCTTATTCTATGTAATGAGTTTGTCCTGTCCTGGTTTAGTTTTTGAACTTTTGAGACTGTTATGACATCGTGACATCAAGCTGGTATGATATGATTAGAGTGCGAATGTATATATTTATCCCAAATATCCTAATTGTTGAACTTTTGTATATATATATATACGTACATGTATATGCACTTTTACACAAACGTTGGTATCTGTGACCTGTCGCACGGACTAGGGAGATAAATTTCAACGTGTACGCCCAGTAACGCCACAATGTGAAAATAACTCGCGATTCGTGCATAATAAATTTCAAAAGTGCTTAAAAATTTATATAACAGAGATGATTCCGTTTATTTCAGATACATGTAATAATTAAATCTTGGGCCTGCATTTCTGATATGTTCAAGAGGGCAAAGTACAACTGAAGAAAAAAACTCTATTTCCAAGTAACATGTATATATTCAATATTCACTCAAAAAATATATGAACCGCGTCATGACAAAACCAACATAGTGCGTTTGCGACCAGCATGGATCCAGACCAGCCTGCGCATCTGCAGTCTGATCAGGATCCATGCTGTTCGCTATCAGTTTTTCTACTTGAAAAAGAGTTGGTAAGCGAACAGCATGGATCCTGATCAGATTGCGCGGATGCGCAGGCTGGTCTAGATCCATGCTGGTCGCAAACGCACTATGTTGGTTTTGTCGTGACACGGCTCATATATAATTTTTTTTTAAATTAAGTGTCAGTCAGACATTTTCAAAAATAATGCTAAATGACGTGCGCCAATTACACATAATAACATTACCGTTACATCACAAAAAAATGAGAATCCGTTGTGCGGAGAGCTTCTACAGCATCTTAGAAGGAAAGTAAAACTCTCACTAAAAGTTTTAACATTGAGATATGCCTTTTATCTCACAGGAAAAAGTACAAAAACAAGAACGTATAGCAAGAACAAGACAGCCTAACTAGGTATTGTTTTTATGGACTTAATTTCCTGGGTGCAATTTTGAGAGTAGTCACTTTAGGTGTTATTAAAAAAAAACACAATTTTATGAGACGGTTTTCATACTGACTTGAAAACGGTGCTGGTTTGTTTCGGGGCAGGCTGTCAATTGGTTTATAATCACCAGTACTAGTTTATCTCACTTTGGCAATGATCTGATAACTTCTGTACATGCTAGCGCACAGGTACAATGAGAATGACCGTAGAAAGGAATTAATGATCAATAAGAACGAAAGTGGCCTGCACGGCCCGGGACTCGAACCCGTGGTGGTCGCTTGACGTTTCTCTATTTGAATATTGACAAAAGAATTGTCACTTTAATCATGAGAGATAAATCTTGTAAAAATATATTATATTGAAGTTAAACACCACTTCTACTATCACAGGCACTAATTCCTTTTACCTGTATGCAGAGGGTTCATGTACATTGTACATTGTTCTTTTCATTTAACTATCAAATTTATTTTCCATTTATAACATTTATGTATTAATTAATTAAATTATTAATTATTTTATTTTTTGTTTATTAAAGGACGACGTGTCGTTATTTTGCGGTTTTTATTTTGTAAAATTCATACGGCAACTTTCCCTTCTGTACTGTTGCAAGGAAAATACAGAAAATATTTACACCTGCACCTTTTCATGCATGGCAAAAAAAAACACCTTGAAACTAGACTACTTGAAACACTCGGCGTTTAACCGGATCTTTAGTTTTATAATTATGTTAATTTTAAAAGCATAAAAACTAATCACAACTTAAATTCAGGTTTTATTATAACAAGAGAACCTTGATGGTCCTACATCGCTCACCTAACTATTTTACTCTTAATTAAGGACAAGGGACAATTAATATTGCAGATATAATGTTAACATCTTAAACCGACATCATAAGGTTTATATCTGCACCTGAAAAAAGTGCAAAGGTAAACAAGTTTTTTTTGGGCTATGTTACCTAGTTTTTGACCCCAGATGACTCATATTCATAACTTTACATTGAAATCACTTTAAAAAAACCTTGCTGAAAATATCCAGGGTATTTGGGCCGATAATAACGTAATGCCTATTGAAGCGTCTATGTAAAACTCCTGATAAGTAATAGTTATTGTTCAGATTTTAATAAATATGGAATTTATTGCAAGCGTAGCGTAGCGGAGCGCAGCAATAAGTTCTATATTTTTTAAAATATGAACTATAACAGTTACTGGCTTGCCGTTTGACCCACTTTCGTGGAATAAGTCGCGTACGAAGTGCCGGTACAGCGTTTGATGTAATACGAGTCCCGCCCTAACTAGTATAGATTTACAGGCCAACACATGGTCGTTGTGTT